GCTATAGTTTGGCTCCATTTCCCAAGGCCTGGTGCCCAGGGTGGCATGTTTAGGGGGTGGTAGAGGCTTGAACTGGGGACAAGTGCGAGGGATAAGTGCGAGGGATCCAGATCTAGAGGCACGCTCTCGGAGGGGGTGTGTACACTCTGCTCCTCTTCCCTTTCTGCCCGTGCCTCAGGCTTATGGTATAAGCTATCTTGCTCCACCATGCATGCCCATCACAGTGTGCTTCCTCAGCACTGGCCCAGGGCCACAGGTCCATTCAATCACAAACTGGAACTTCTGAAACTGTGAGCCAAGAGAACCTTCCCCCCCCCCCCCGAGTAAGATAATCATCTCGGGTAATCTGCCATAGTGGCAGAAGGCTGACCCACCATGCTTGCTGCTACCATCCAGGACGCTGTGCGTGCTGGAAGTGACAGAAAGGGCCGTCTTCAAGTGGTGAGGCACTACGAGCACTACGGAATACAGAGCCCGCTTAGGTCCCTTCTTCCTGGGGCGCGTGGCAGCTTTCTTTGCAAGCTATCCCTTTGCAAGCCTGATTTTGCACACACCCTTGCAAACACGGCGCCCACCCTGTAAGCTGACATGATTAAAGCGGTGGGCCACGAAGGCACTCATTTTCCTTCTGAACTTGGTTCCCCCTTCTACACAATCCAACAATCCAACCAGGCCCTACATGCTTCTCTGTTCATAACACTGGCTAAATTGCTACCCAGAAGGTTGATCATTTCTTGTACCCAGGTAGACAGAGAAACTAAGTCAGTATTAGTACTTTTCTGGAAGGCAGCCATAAAATTTGTCAGTTGGGTTTGCCATTATAAATATAAGATCACAACCGTGGTTGATTTTAAAAGTTCCCCAAAAGTCTGGTAGCCTGGGATAAGTGACAGTTTTCTATCTGGGGGTGACGGTGGCAAACTTCAAAAGGCTTGGGCAGTCTTCCTCCCCACAACTGAATAGGCCAGAAGACGGGACCCAGCACAAGTTCCTACTGCCATTGAAGGTTCTGGAAAACAGAATGATCCCTATGCTCTCCCAGTTACTGAAACTATAGGTGGTGGTGTGGGGGTCCCATTGAAGGGGAAGAAGAAATGAAAAGGGCATACTTAAGACATAAATAATATAAAAGGGCACACATTTTTAAGATACATTCATGACATTACTACTACAAAAATAAATAACGGTTTTCTCTGGTTTGAATTAATGTCCTTCACACAGTTTGTCCCCAGCCTGTGCTGTACAGTCACTGGCTTACAGTGGGAACATGAGGAGGCCTGTGTACTTTCTCAGGTCTCCTGGGCTTGCCGAAGAACCACCGGCAGCCCCTCCAGAGGACGGCCAGGAGACCATGTTGTCTTCTCCACGCAGTCCTCCACGACAGCTGACAAGATAAGAGGATCCCAACTTAAAGCTCTGTCCTCTGCGTCTGAAGGGCCATTGCTATCTCCTGAAAAACACGAGATTTGGGCACATTATAGACTAATAGACGGTCTTCACACAGCAGTTCTGAAAACAGTAGGTTGAATAATAAAGAAACACAAAGAAGTAAGTCCCACTTAAGTTTGGTTTGACTCCGAGGAAGAAGAATACATTAAAAAAAAAAAAAAAAAACCAATTCTCTTGAGTCACTTACTATATAAGTTATTTGAGATTAAAATGATCCTCTTAAGAGCCCCTACAAATAGTACTTTACAGAAAGATTATAGTTTGTACAGCCGAGCCAGAGAAAAGCAGGGCTCATCCCCTAATGCTATGGAATGAGCAGCCTGAGCTATCTACTGCTATCCATCCCTGAACGTGTGCGCTCATCCAATTCCACAAGCTAAGCAGGGCCAGTTTTGGTTAGTGCTCAGATGGAAGAGACAACATGAGCTACCGGATGTAATAACAGAATTTCCCAGTGTCTCTTATCCATCCTTATCTTTTCTTGAAGTTCCCAATGCTCCCACCCAGTCTGCTAGCAAACAGTGAGTTGACGGTAGAAAACTTCCTGATAAAGTTCTCAGCCCACTGGAGACCAGAAACTAAACGCCTCCCTGTACCTCTGCTGAACTCGGCTGTATCTTCTGTGGAATCAGAATTGATGTCACTGAGCGTGTCCTGACAGCAGGTGTGCTGGGTAGGTGCTGGTGCCACACTGTCCTTGATGCTTTCCTCAGGTAACTGACCACAGTCAGGAACTGTGGAAGCTGGACACACGGGTGCCTTCACGGCACTGAGGGGCTTCATTTCCAGACCATCCTGAGGATAAGGCGCTACCACTGGGACCACAGGAAGGGGAGCGCTGGTTTTGGTGAAACACCTGCAGAGTTTGAGTGAGAAGAAACAGAACTGGGTGTTTAGGGACATCAATAATTATAGTAAGTTCATTTAAAAGTATAATGATTATTTTAAATTCACAAACTCTTAAGAATTATGCTTAAAAAATAATCAGCTAATTACAATTTGAAATAGCAAAACTCTGAAAGCTAGCGATAGTGGGCAACGATAGGACATGCACCGAAGGCAAACCTAAGGGCAGCATCTTCTGTGATGACCCAAGCTATGTACTTCCTCCCAGTTCACTGCCAGCAGACACCTCCCATTTCATTAACTAGTTCCCAGATATAGCACACAGGAGCAAGAAACACCAGCTACTGCAAGGAACGAGGGAGAGAAAGGAAGGATGGAAAGCTAAGACACGTGGCCGCATAAGAGGGATGACCTAATGACGGTCAGCATAAAAACGCATGGCTTTGAACACTGTCGGAATAAAAACGCACAGCTTTGAACTCAGAAGGCGCTTCAGTTCCTTTCCTCTTTGCTGTGACACACACCCGACAAAAGTGACTTAAGGAAAGGTTTATTCCAGCTCTGAGTCCAAGGGGACAATGTACCACGGTGTGGAAGGCATGGCGGCAGGAGCTGGAGGCAGCTGGTCCATTGCATCTGAAGCCAAGAAGTTGGTGTTTCATTTGCTTTCTCCCTTTTATTCAGCTGGGACTCTGGTCCATAGGACAGTGCTGCCCACATTCAGGGTCCTTCCACCTCCATTAACCTAAGCCAGGAACTCCCTCACAGCCGCACCTGAGAGGTTTGTCTCCTAGGTGATGCTACACCCTGTCAAGCTGACAGTCACAGGTGGCTTTCCTCTCAGCCTTGGAGGAAACCGGATAGTCATTTAGATGCCAGGAGTTTTAAGATAGTTTCCCCATTGTAGAATTAAGTGGCTGGAATTTACCAGCACTGAACATTTCACTTCAATTCCATTCGACCTTTATCCCCTGCCACCAGCTAAGAAGTGTCTTTTCAAACGGGGTAGATCCTGACTCGACCTTTTCGTTCTTCGATTCTTCTGTTGTTTTCTGCAATGGCTGCCACGTTCACCCTGCACATTTGCCATTCAACTTGCTGTGCCTTTTCAGCCCTGAAGCTTCCATTTGGATTTTTTTCACGGCTGAAACATCCACATGTTCATTTCCTGAGTGTTTACTCTCCTGTAAATGCTTGAACATATTTATAATATTTGCTTAATGCCACTGTTTGCTAGCGGTGATGCCCGGGCCATCTCTGGATCTGCTTCCACTGTCTCATGGTTTCCCCAAGAAGCACCAGGATCCTGTTTCCTTGGATGTACCCCAATTCTTCTTCCTTTCCCCTTGAATTTGCTGGTTGTTTTACTGCCGTTGAACTCAGTCTTCTGACACGCTCTTTCTTGGGCCCTTACCCCAGGACTGGAGAATGCCTTCCGGAGAAGCCCAGTCTGCCTTTGAAGGGTGGGTTCTAGTTCAGCTTCCCTGCTCCAGTTACCCAACAGTGCTAAATTGTCTACATTTTATCATCACCACCTGTAAGATCAAGCTGTTCCTCTGTTCCTGGTACATTTTTCTTAATTTCTAAAATGGGGACTAAGAAAAGCTGGAAAACGATGGACTTTTATGTAAGGCAGACGGGAAAACAGAAGAAAATGGCAATGTGCTAGAAATAGGTCATTCGAAAGAATAAAGGTCAGAATTCTTTATTTTCATTTTTTACACATAGCAGGGCAGGTTTCTGGGACAAAAAATTAGGAAAGGGTCCAGTTCTGTTGGCTCAAGACATTGGAAAAACCAGTTCTGAGTAAGAAGATGCAGACAAGCCTGAAAGAGAACAGAGGCATGTTGGTAAATCAAGTCCTTAACTTAAATAAACCCAATTTCTATTTAAAAAAAATACACTAACTGCACAGTTAAAGGACACTAGGGATCTAATTAACTTTTGAAAATATGGCAAAAATATGAATATGACCCACATTTTCCCAGGCAGGTCTACAACTGGTCCGAATTACGCGCAGGTATAGACACGGATGTACTAGAGTCGGAACCAGAGCCCTGGCTTGGACACGTCACCTCTCAAAAGAGTGTGATATTAATTCCGACTTGCTCTCTTGGCTACTTGATTCAACTCAGAACTTTAACAGTGTTCATGTGATCAATGTCTTCCTCCCACGATGCATTATGTTGTTATCCTCTCCGGCTCTCCTACTCAGTGAACCCCAAAGTGAACTATTGAGTGGCACATGGTACCCACAGACTCTGAACATGTTAAAACATGGGGTGATGTCAAGGGGAAAACCTTTCTAGCTTCAAACTACTATGAGAGAATTTAACGGGCATGAGGGTCTCCTGCAGAAGATCCCTCCAACTGTGATGCACTGTGGTAGACACTGTGAATAACAAAGTAAAAACAGCAGAGGTCCTGTTCCCAGCAGAGCAGAGGAGATAAACAAGCAAACCAGAGTTGCAGCTGAACGTTGGGATGTGGAAGGAAGTGCTGCTGCTGCTGCTGCTGCTGCTGCTGCTGTTGCTACTACTGCATGTACTTCCCAGGCTGTATCTGGCTCTACTGACTTCATAGCTGAGGACCTGGCATTAGGTTCAACTATGGAACTGGGGAATTTAAACTCAGAAATATCTCTGGTTAGGGGAATCAGTATGGCTGCTGTGACTAACTGGAAGTATTTCTTTTCTCTCTCTCTCTCTCTCTCTCTCTCTCTCTCTCTCTCTCTCTCTCTCTCTCTCTCTCTGGTTTCTCTGTATTTATTACCCTGGCCATCTTGGAACTTGCTTTGTAGACCAGGCTGCCCTTGAACTCAGAGCTCCACCTGCCTCTGCCTCCCAAAGACCAGGATTAAAGGCATGTGCCACCACCACCTGGTTTGAAAGGATTTCTTAAAATTTAAATTCTAGGCTCCCAGCTCTGGCTGCCTAGTTTATATCGTAATATCTGTCCTGCTACGAACCACTAAAAGGATGAAGGAATTTTACTTTAAACTTGCTCAAGGTAAAAAAAAAAAAAAAAAACTTGCTCAAGGTATCGGGAGTTATTAAAGCATTTATATGGCTAAGGGTATGAGAAGTGAGTGTGAACCTGACCTTCAGCCTCCCTTTGCTCTTGAGGCACCTGCTCAACTGAGTGCAGATGAAGCTCTGCAGATCAAGAGTGGAGGAGCTAAGGAGCTGAGCTGAGCTTTCAGAAGCATCGTTGGGGCTAGGAAGACAATAGTTCAGAGCCTGCCAAGAAGAAAAGACCTGGAAACACACATAGGCTTTTACATGGGATTCTCAAAGGACCATCTCCTAAAAGTAAGGGTCAATCAGGAATAGAATGGGCCTACTGTGTAGATGTGAAACAGTGTGGTATATGTAGGTGTGGTGTATGCTCCCAAGTCTGTGTGGCAATATGGCCCTGCGTGCATGCGGAGTCCAGGAGGATGTTCTGTGTCTATTCCATCACTCTCCACCTTTTCTTCTGAGACAAGGTCTTTCATGGAATCTGGAGCTAGGCTGGCAGCCAGCAAACCACAGCAATCCCCCCTGTATCCACCTTCCCTAGCACTGGGGTCATAAGTACACTTGCAACTGTGTCCAGCTTTTCGCATGGGTCTTGGGGTTTGAACTCAGGTCCTCATCTCTGTGGACAACACTCTTCCTTGCTGGGTCATCTAAAACAGCTTTTAGACTAGGTTTTTACAAAGCCTAAACTCAGCATTACATCTGTTCAACCCTAGCTGGGCTTCAAGTGATTTGGCCCTAATCCAACTATATGGCCAAACATAAAAGTAAATCCTTTCTGGAAGAAAACTTTTTTCTAGAGTTTATACCAGTTATATGGCATATATAAAAAAGAAATATTATCAAGCATTAAACAAGAACAAGAGAAAACAAGTTGGGGTTGGAGAGATAGTGCAGCCATTAAAAACACTTGTTACTCTTGCAGAGGACCTGCGCTCAGTTCCCAGCGCCCACATGGTGGCCCACAACCAACCCATAACATCAATTCAAGGGGATCTGACCCCTCTTTCGACCCTTGGCAGACAGTGACAATACAGTGGTGTTGAAGGTCTCCAGGTTGAAGGAAAACGAGTGTCAACACACAGAAGAGATAAAATACAGAGTGGAACAAGTAGCAGCAGAAGGGCAGTGTAGCGAAAGTCATAAAGCCCAGTGCCAAGCACATAGTAAATACAGTAAGGAAGGACTTAAAAAAATGTAAAATAAATAATTATTTATATTAGAAAATTGGGCTTTTGTATATACCTTTTCTCCAGCAAGCAAGCTCTTAAGGAACATCATCAGGCTCATTGGAAGCTGCTGCTCACAGTCCACACCCCAGGAGGTGAGAAGAAAGGGATATTAAGGCAGGAGAACCCAGCACACTGATCCTCCGGCTGTTGGCATCACAATACTGATTGTCCACCCTTGTTCAATAGATAGCTATTTTGTTGGCTAGATACTTTTCTACTATCTGTTGATGTCAGAGTTGTCTAGAGGTCAGTGAATGACTATCCTCAACTGTCACAGGAGACAGCTAAGGACAATAAGACAAAAAGCACAGCCAGATACTTGACCTTGATTGTGTCACAGGTGCTAAGTAAACTTTACGCTCCTGTTTCCCTTTCTCTGCAGGAATCTGAAAATTAATGGAAGGTGCCAGGAACTTAGACAACAAAGAAGAAACAGAAAGAGAAGTTCATTTTAAAGAAGTCAAATTAAATTGAGGGAGAAAGAAAAGCCATACTTACCAGAATCTGAAAAAACCAAGGCAGTTCCCTGTAAAGAAACATTACAAATATTAGTTTGCAGAGCTAATGTGAATGAATTTCATCATGCTGAAGTAATAAAATGCCAGGGACTCACCAGACAGTGAGAGGCCTTCTTCCTTCCCTTTGGCTTCCTCTGTCCTGTGCTCTTCTTGAATTTAAAACAGGCTGTAGATGGGATTCCTGAGTGAAGTCTAAGGGCTTTTCCACACCATGGTTTCTAAAGATCCTCTGCCAGAGGGGCAGGAAGTTACACGCACAGGGCAGGACCAGGGTCAGTGAGACAGAAGAACAGGGTCAGCTTCTATAGGGACGGTCATGGATGGCAGTGTGCCACAGGCAGGTATTAAAGAGACATTCAAAAACGAGATTCTCAGCAGGAGAAAGAAAGGTACAACTCCCTTAGCATATGCTTTCCATGTAAGTAACAGGAACTCACAAACTCCATCCTGAACACTCCTTCATCAGAGGGGGTGACAGTAATATAAGACACATTTGGAAAGTAGCTTGGATCCATCCAGATCTCACCATGATAAACCACACTGACTTAAAATTTTCTAGTACATTGAATCTTAACTCAGAATCAGCAATTAACCACTTAGCTAACCAAATGTAAGCAATTCCATCGCTTTCCGGTTAGTGTACTTCCAGATGTCTGTGTGTCGGTCGGCACAAGACCATCTGGGACTTAGGCTAGGCATGCGGAGATAAAAGCATATGGGCCATGGGCCATAGAGGGATACGACCTCTCTCCTGAATGTGACCAGGTGCAGCGTGAGGAGGCGAGTCTGTCAATGAGCATGCTCTCAGACATTTTCTAACGCAATCAAAACCCACAGAGTAGCTGCGAATATGTAAATTAACAGACTAAATCTCCACGGAGTGAAAAAGAACAGAACGTTTGCTGAGACTCTTAAAAGGCACTTTACAGTTCACACAACTCAGTAACGTTTACACTCCGAGGCTCCACAGCCTTCAAATGTAGTGCTGCCAACCGTGGAGTTGACGTTTCTGCAGAGCTGTCTCCAGCCCGAGAAACTCGGTGTCTTAATTATATCAGCACCAAGTAAAGGGAACTCCTGTCTATACAAAGTCCGGGTTACCTAGTAAGTGCCCAGGTGGTTTAGGACTCGCCAGTGTACAAGACAACCTTCCCACCTGTCTGAAGATTTAGGAGAAAGAAAAATGACTATTGTAGGAATCACAGGAACAATGAAATACTCTGTAATCAGCCACAGGAACAGCACAAATGGAATGAAAAAGAGAAGAGACCATTTGTATAAGCTTGCATTTGGGAGACAAGGCATGTGAGTAGTTAGTTAAACATAATTTAGCTATTTCTGTAAAACTATACTATACACACAAATCTCTCTTTTTTTTTTTTTTTTGGTTTTTCGAGACAGGGTTTCTCTGTGGTTTTGGAGCCCGTCCTGGAACTAGCTCTGTAGACCAGGCTGATCTCGAACTCACAGAGATCCACCTGCCTCTGCCTCCCGAGTGCTGGGATTAAAGGCTTGCGCCACCATCGCCCGGCCACAAATATCTTCTAGAGAAGTATTTCACTTCTGATTACAAGGCTGGATATAATCAAGCATAATCATGACAGTTACTCTGCTCAGATGACAGGACAAGTTTTACATAAAACCCTTTTCCCAAGTTCTTTGCAGTCCTGGGGATTGAACCCAGGATCTCATGCATGCTAAGCAAGTATTCTGCCACTAAGCCAGTCAGGCACACCCTCTTGATTAGCCTTGAAGGCAAGGAGTAAAGACTCTTGAATCCTTGAATAGTCGACCTTTATTTTCACACCCGTGCTCTGAAGACTTCCATAACAGTATCTTGGTGACGGTCTGTCTCATATTTAGTTCATCTTTGCTGTTTCCTCTCGTCACTGCGAGCTCTCTTACTTGCTGTTCTACTCCTGGATTGTGGGAGCAGCTGAGCTGCTGTATCACAGCCCTCTGATGACCCTCCTGCAGGGTCATGACGTCATTCATTCTCACCGTCTGCACTGTTGGATACTGTGATGACCCTAGCATCATGGTGGGATGGTCCTTTAGAAGTTAATTTATCAGCTACCTTCACACAAAAGGTGACAATAGGTGCTGGGAGGCAGTGAAAGAACGGGGCAGAGAGACTCACGGAGGGCTTATAGTTTAAAGACCAAAAGCAACACAATACTCCATGACAACAGGCTCTCAGCCTCCAGATTAGAAGAGGCGAATGTGGGGAGACATACAATTTTTCCGAAAAGGTATTGAGCAGTTAGAGATGTCATCAGCGATTGAGAACATTGCAGGTGTTCTATTCCCAGCATCAAATCAGATGGCTCACATCTGCCTGCAACCCCAGCTCCAAGCAATCCAACACTCTCTTCCGACTTCTAAAGAAACACGTGGCACACACTCACAAAAACACATACACATGAAAAAAAGCAAATCTTAAAGAAAAATATATAAGACTTTTTTTTTCTCCTCAAAGTGGACAGATTACATAGGTGAAGGAAAAGCGGAATCTTGGACTTTCGTGCTTTCTTCTTTAGCATTATGGATAGTTCTCAAGTTGCTAAGTGGTCACAAATAGAAGAGGGGCTGGGTTATAAAAAAAATTACCCACTAAGAGGAAGAGTCTAAGTGTGCTAGACAATTAACAACCACCTGGGTCCATCGAACCTCGCCGGAGACTCCTTCTATAACTTAATATCCTCGCTTCATCTCTGCGTCTCATTTCCATCTGAGCACAGCTGACATCAGTTGTGGAAGGGCACTCCCGGACCGAGAACACACAGACATTTAGGATTATCACACAAACTTGGCAGCCATCTGCAATAACTGATTTTCTAGGCATTATCCCCAGTGACTTTCTTTCTCTTGATTATCAGCCATTCAGCCTGGACTTTTCTTCCCCCCAGATGAATTATAGACATTTTTCCATGCTGATTTCTACTTCCTGCCCATTTCCAGTCTCTCTAGGACCCTTAAAGTTAATCTCTCCTTCTTTCCTGATGGGACCTCTATTCGCTCATCTGTGGATTTCATCAGCGTCTCCTCTACTCTCTCCTACAGATGATCAAGACTGATGGCAAATGGGCCCAATTTAATGTCAGTTCCTTCCCATTAAACCAGCCAAGCAGCTAACAAACCACATTTGATTGCATATCCAGAACTGTACTCTTCTGTCTAAATTGAGAAGAGAAAGGCAGAAAGAATATGATTTATCTGATTACGATCTGTTTAACTCTTGAAAGGCTGAACAGTACAATGGTTTCTCAATTTTGTCTTCAGCAGAGGGCATAAGAACGGCACAACGGTTTCTCAGTTACATTTTCAGTGGAGGAAACCGGCCCCCTGTCAGGCTGCATTTAACAGGCCTCTTTCCACACAGCACTAAAATCCAGAAAATGTTTTTGAGTCAAGAGAACACAGGAGAGCCGACAGTCATTAACATGCCACAGAAGCCCTGGGACAGTTTTCCCACAGATGGCGAGGGTGCCTTCCCTCTTACTTGCTCCATTGTGTTGTTGTTGCTGTTGTTTGTTTGTTTGTTTGATACAGGGTTTCTCATATAGCCCTGGCTATTCTGGAATTCACTGTTTAGACCAGGCTGGCTTCAGATTCACTGAGATCTTCCTGCCCCTGCCTCTGACTGAGCATTAAAAGCACGTGTCTCTGCACCTGGTTTGCTCCCCGATCTTTTTCTATCAGTACTCCAGTTATGTCAATAGCGTCACCCTTGCTCCTCAGAGTCACTGCTAAAATAGAGGGATGAGAAAGGGGATTGACAGAGGGTTAGCAACAACTGTTTCTTAAAAGCCCTGCTCTAAGAAATGCATTCGGGTTTTAACCCTGAGAAGGCAGAGGAAAAGGAGGAACAAATTGCAGGGCAGGTGAGATGCTGTGCACAGAGAGACTCCGAATGAGAATGAGCCCTGCCTGGTCGTAAATGCCTGTGAAACAGAGAAGACAATGCCAGGGCTAACCCCAGGTGTCCTATAGCACACTGCTGGGCAAGGAGCCTTCGTCAAAGCTGACTCCTAGGGAGATGACTACAACTGATGACCCAGACTCACCCTGCCCCAGCCTCTTCAACAAACTAGCGTTTCATTTATGAAATCCCACACCCACTCTGATTCTCACTTCACAAACTGTGCCTGCAGTGTTCTTGATGACGGTAGGTCTAGCTGGTGACGAGCTGTTTAAAAATCTTTCGCGAACCTGCTGTGGCTCTGGATGACGTGGTTTCATTGACCTTTCTCCTCTGACCCTTTTTAAAAATAGTCTCTGGGAACATCAACCTTCCTTCAGTTATATGGAGGATGTGGGCATCCTGACTTAGAGATTCCACATAAATAGTACTCTCTGCCTGGAAAGCTTCAAACCTAACCTGTCCCTTTTACCTCATTTTGTAAATTCCTCATTGTTAACAAAATGCTTTCCGCTTAGGGAGCTCTAATATCTTATTCTTTTCTTTTTAGAAGACCTAGTTTCACTATTTCTTAATCTTTATGATGTCATTTTGAAAAACACCAGACCATGAGTCCCGTGGACGCAGGATGAGCCCATTGGCTTAGTCCTGTATCCCTACACCTCTGCCTCACTGCAGACCCGCAGCAAATGTCTACCAGATGAACACACCTTCTTTGTCCCTTCTCACTCTCCTTTCTTCATTTCTTTTATTTTTTGACAATATTACCAAGGTGGTGAGAAAAAAAAAAAAAACAGTAATAAGCAACATCTTAGAAAAAGAATGAGTAATTCAATTCCAAAATAAACAAAAGCAAATCAACGGCTCAAGTAATGGGTTAAAATTAGCCAGTCAAGGTTATTGTCTCCTTTCAAAACACCAAACTGCAACTATAGGTACAGCCTGGAAAACTTTGCAACAGATGTTATTACATCTGTATTGCAGTCCCAGTATCTCCACCCAAACAACAGTATCCTTGCCTGTCTCCCTGGATCAGCAACAACCATTGGTACCAAATTCATCACTTTTCTCAATGAATTGCTTTATTAGGTTGCTTATTTCTACGTCCACCACCCTGGCAATTACCAACCAGGTCATTCGCATTTGAAAAATGTTTACATATTTGGAATCTTTATTTAAAAAAAACTTGTTAAAAATGTTTGTTTAGTCGGTGTGGTATGCATACGTGGGACATGGCACATGTGTGGAGGTCAGAGGACACCTTGTGGGAGTCGGTTTTCTCCTCCTATCAAGTGGGTCCTAGTTACTGAACTCAGGCAGTTAGGCCTGGCAGCAAGCACCTTGGTTAGTGGAGCCATCTCACCAGTCCTAATTTAAATTTTTGGGGCCCCTATCAGACAACGGCAGAGTCATGATGACAGCAACTCTAGAATTTCATCCCCTTCTTCCTCATTCCTGGGACAAAAGCTAAGTTTGCTTACAACAATGTCTAACAGTCTCCCCTCTCCAACACCTTTGCACACTGCTATGTGTCAAGCAGAAATCCATCCCTGAATATGTGACACTCTTCAGAAACCTTAATATGAGTTAAGATACCACTTGCACTGTGTTTTCCAACATTTCACACTTGCCTCCTTTTCTAACACATATCCTTCTGTAGTTTACACTATAGAATCAAAGGTTTGCTTCTGCTCTTTAAACATAAGGCTCTAAGATGCACAATGCTACTGCTGCTGCTACTACTGTGTGTGTGTGTTTCCCTAAACAAGTGGATTTTCATGCAGGAAGAAGACTTAAGCAAGCAAGAAACATAGATGAAGAAAATTCTCTTGTTTCCAGACAGCAGAGAAACAAACTTGAAATGCAGAAAGCTATTAATCTCAAAGTTAAGAGAAATACATTATAATTTATAATAAAACCTCCTAATTCTCCACAGATGAACATGCAAATGACAAAACTGAAGTTGGCAGAGGTCATTTAAATTCTTTTAAAGAACTGGGATTTCAGCTGGGCAGTAGTGGCACACACCTTTGATACCAGCACTTGGGAGGCAGAGGCAGTTGGATTTCTGTGAGTTCGAGGCCAGTCTGCTCTACAGAGTAAGTTCCAGGAAAGCCAAGACTAAATGGAGAAACCCTGTCTTGACAAACCAAAAAGGAAGGGAGGGAGGGAGGGAGGGAGGGAGGGAGGGAGGGAGGGAGGGGAGAGATCTGTTTTGGGCATAAGATGGAATCTCATCATCAGGACATTTTATTAAAGTCTATATTGTACTGTGTTCAGATCAGTCTTCTACTACTGAGAATAACTCTTTACCTTTCAGATAAGGGTGCTAACTCTAATACTATGTAAGTCTCCCAGGAACATAAACCTAAGCAGTGCCAAGGCACAGGACTACTTATTTGTAGACCAAAGGGCCCCCCTCATTACAACACTCTTAACAGTCAAGATCTACAATGACCACAGAACCACACAAGGACAACACGAGACACAAAAACTATCGTGACCACTTGTTAAATTAACCCAGTTGATTACTGCCAAGTGTGTGAGCCAGCTTCATTAACTTCTTCCTCCTCCTCTGTAGTTTTTGGAGACACAGTCTTGCTCTGCAGCCCAAGCTGGCCTTAGACTTATGGCAATCTGACCACCTCAGCCTCTCAAGCACTGAGATTACTGGCAAAAGCTACCGCACCTAGGTTTTCAAGTTCCTTCCCATGTTTTCTTAACCAACTGTGATGAGAGTCTGTGAAAATCTCTGTGCAAAACTGTGGCTTTGATATATGCACATTTTCTAAATGAGTGTCACAGAGTTGAAACCTGTAACTCTTAGTATACAAACTAGGTGAGACAGCTCTGGCTAATAATAAGCCTTCACAAGTTAGGTAAGGAACAAAAAGTAGCTATGATTTGTTGCTCTGCAAAAAGTAGCTATGATTTGTTGCTCTGTTCTGAGAATTGCTAAAACAATGTACTGTTTGTTTTCTGAGAGGGGTCTCACTATGCAGTCCAGGCTTGCTTTCATTCCAGTACAAACCCAGCTCTCCTGCCTTGAAAAGATGTACTTTGATTTATGGTTAGCTAGGTCTTTCTGGTGCAACTGATTTCTAGGGATAACTCTTAACTTTTTATTTCATTGAAAAGCAACAAAGGAAACCCTTCTCTATAGATGGAAGTTTCTGTCCTGCCTGGTCCCACAGTCCCAAATAAACACACCGAGACTTGTATTAATTATAAACTATTTGGCCTATTAGCTCAGACTTATTATTAACTAGCTCTTACAACTTAAATTAACCCATAATTCTTGTCTATGTTTAGCCATGTGGCTTGGTACTTTTTTTTTTCGAGACAGGGTTTCTCTGTGGTTTTGGAGCCTGTCCTGGAACTAGCTCTTGTAGACCAGGCTGGTCTCGAACTCACAGAGATCCGCCTGCCTCTGCCTCCCAAGTGCTAAGTTTAAAGGTGTGCGCCACCACCGCCCGGCTGGCTTGGTCCTTTTTTTTTTATCAGTGTAGCATTCTCGTCTTGCTTCCTCTGTGTCTGGCCGGTGACTGCTACTCAGCCTTTCCTCTTCCCAGAATTCTCTTATTCTGGTTGCCCCACTTCTACTTCCTGCCTGGCTACTTGCCAATCAGCACTTTATTAAGCCAGTATGAGTGACAAATCTTTACAGTAAACAAAAGTATTATCCCACAGCGTTTCTCAGTAATGCATGATCCAAACTTCCAGCTACACTCCAGCTATCCACGGTACTAAGTTTTCTAGTTGCAGAATTTCAGAAGTGGGATGGATTTTTAGGATTATGTAACTCAATGCAATCATTATAGAAAAGAACTAAGATTTCTGATGTAACTTCAACAATCCTTTGGAATTGATACCTACAGCAGTACATGGAAAAACTAAGAGCCTCCACCCCATGTCAGGCAGGCCTTGAGCCTACAATTCTCCTGCCTCGGCCTTCCAAGTAGCTGTGATTAAAGGCTTGCACTATCAGACCCAACTAAAATTCAAGTTTCTTAGCAAACTGTCTGCTAGTTCTTTGCAATTAATATTTAATATATTAATAATTAATACATACAGAAATAGAATGAAAGCTTTCTTATATTTAGTGTGTCAAAGTTGGTGCATTTTTGTTTGCTTGTGTTTGAGATAAAGTCTTACCATGTAGCCCAGGCTGGTCTTGAATTTGTAGGACTATACTCCCCAATTTAGGGATTACAGGTTACAGAGGTCATAGACAGAGATGTGCCGCCATGCCAGTTTCCTATGTGTCAAGACTGAAATATACATATTATTCTACAGGATTTTATCTTATTTAAACTATTGTATATATCACTTTTACTATTGAAAACTGTAGATTTGAAAAGCAAGGTTTGGGATGGGGAGGGAACTATGGACCCTGGTCTGTGGTGTGTGTCTGCAACCCCAGTGCTGGGAAGGCAGAGAGGGCAGATCCTCGGGGCTTGTAATCCAGCACAGACAAAAATTAGAGGTGTTCCAGGTCAACGAGAGATCGTGTCTCAACAAACAAGGCAGACCTAAGGAAGGGCATCTGAGGTCATCCTTTAAGTTCCACATGCACACATGTGTACCATACTCGTGTACACACATGTACATGCATTGGACATACATATGCAAAATTTCTTGTGGTTTTTGTTTTGTTTTGAGACAGGGTCTCTCCATGTAGCCTGGCTGTCCTGGAACTCACTATGTAGACCAGGCTAGCCTCAGACTCACAGGGATCACCTGCTTCTGCCTGCTGAGTTCTGGGACCAAAGACATACACCACACAGCCCAAGTAAATATTTTCTTAAGTATCATAAGATTTTAAGAATTAAAGAAAAAAAAGAGAAAAGAAACACTGCATAGTCTAATAAAAACATTCCAGCAATATTATTGTGGAAAACCACTCTATAGATAGCAGATGTTTTTGTTTTGTGTGCTGCTAAAACACGATCAACTGTTTATACTCATCCCAACACAGACATGCAAATAAGAAATGGGAAAAGACAAAAACTGCAATATGGCGAAGAACCCTACCCTTAACAACACTCTATTCAAAAACAAAGCCTTTAATATCGTCACTCCATGCCTAAAGAAACTGAGGCACAGAAACATAAAAATCACAGCCTTAAACTAAGAAAGGTGGAGTTTTGTGTAAAGTAGAGGAAAACAAGGAGGTGGCACAGAATGTGTTGGTCACAGCAGTGTGGCTGGGCCCACGCTAACATACCTATTGTTGTTCCGGCAATTCCGACAATTAATGCATTCCAGTGGGTCAATCTGAGGCACCGCTGTGTACACTCCTCCACCCTGGGCAGGACAACATCCAAGGAAAAAGAAGAGAAGAAGCTGAAGGGGCAGAGACCACTTGCTAAATAAACACAAATACACACCACTAACCAATGGAGGTAGTACACTTTCACACAGTGCCTGAGCAATGGGATACTTGCTACTCATTCACAAGTGAGCCCTGAGCAACGGTACCATGCACCCCTAAAGCTGAGCTGCCACATTCTTCCAGGTACTTTTGTACTGGAAAAAGAGCAAATAAATGGAGGGAGGTTAGTCACTTCCTTTCAGTATTTCAAATTTATGCCTTAAAATATATTATGCATCATAAGCGCCCACTCGTGTTTTCTTTTCTAGCAGTCATGGAAGGAGCTCATGTGACGCCTCTTAGGGAGACAGGGTGTAAAGTTTGTTTGAGTGATGTCACAAGATCAACCCATCTTCATTTTCCCGTAATTATTTTGGTTAGGTCTGTTCACTTGACTGTACTGTTTTAAAACGTCATATTTTTCCAGATGGAGCAGACTCTCAGCCAGCAATGACTTGGAGGGAATATTAATATTTTGATGTTGCTTTTGGCGGGAACTGCTCCGCAATTAAGGAAAATGCCCAGATTAACACATACCTCATTGTAAAATGTTCGCTTGACATACAGAATGGCAAACAGGAAGTTAAAGATTGACTGGCCTTAGAATCAGAGTTCTGCTTTCTGGAAAAAAACCCAGCAGGGCTGAACTGGGAAGGGGGAAGGGGTGTCACACAGCACTCAAACCTCAGGCAGGCCTTTGAGGTTAGAGAAGGTTCAGGCAGCTTTTGCTACACTTTCCATGTCCCTTATCTTAACAAGCGCCAAACAAATCAAGACTAGACATTTCTCTCAGTAACCCTAATCCACCTAACAACAGAGGAAGCAAATCCCTGGACTACATCGAGTCCATGAGGGCAAACTCCAGAAGTTCAGAAGAACGATGTCATTTGTGAAAATTGCTGAACTGCTAAAGTCAAATCAGTGATTTTCACGATCCCAGGTAAGGTTGTAATTTCTTTATGTCTTCACTTTCAGAAGGGTAAGAGGATGAAAAGTTTACAGTCACACTGACAACCTCATTTAAATGGCCAGTCGGTTCTGAAAAGCCAGAGTTCTGGGCTGGTCTTCCACAGGGCTCCTTCTAGAAACAGCCAATGATGTTCCAAGTGAAATGCTTTCTCCATTAGCTTTCTCTGCTCCTCAGCTGAGACGAGGACTGGACTGGGGATAGTGACTTCCTCCACAGAAGAATGAAATTACTACCTTTTGGTGACGGTACACTTTGTAGAATGTACCAAAATTCAGTCCCACAAAAGCTATAGGTCTTTAACCTTATGGTACAAATGGACCTTCCAGCTTTTGTGCTGCAAACCTAATATTTCAGTATCTTTACTAAATTGAAGATGGAAAAAGAAAACTAACTTTTCCAGATTGTAGCAAAGGTCTTAGTAATCAGAATAAAAGTAAAAACGAAAAAGTGTTTAATTTGATAAACTGAACAATTATCTGATTAAAAGGTAATATGGATGCCCAGGCCAGAAATATAATAAATCAAACTCCCTCATATGAGAACCCGTCAAGCAGTATTACCTAAACTGTGCCGGTCATTCCTGTCCATTCACAAGGGATGAAACTGTCTCAGAAATAAGGAAATTTCAAGGTTTTGCAACTGAACTCCTTGTGGCTAAAAATGCTATTCTAAAATCCAAAGGGGTTATATGCTACAGGGTAAAAAAAAAAAAAAAAAAAAAAAATCACTGGGCTAAACGAAGTCCCGATGTGGCAGCCTGTGAGCTCTCTTCACGGTCTTCATAAAGCTAGGGGTGCTGCTCGTCAGGGGAACACTTGCCTACTAGAGGAGCCCCGGGTTCCAGCTCTAAGGGAAAAGATCTCAGTACTGTCCTAGCATCTACATTTACAAGTGTACTGATCGGTCAACAGCAGGTACAGACTGGAATTGCTTCTTCAATGAGAAGCGCTGACCACCACCTCCTTCTACCACAGCACCCCAGTGTGCTGTAGACCGTTCCTCCGTTTGCCAGACTTCACAGCACTGCAGTTCTCAGACTCAGCTCCAAGTAAATGAAATGTGAACCATCTGGCCTGGTCTTTGCTCAGCACTCTTTCCATTTCGTCTCAAGAATAACTCCCAATGTGTTCTTTCCTGCATTCCACTTTGTGGTAAATAATTTAAAGCTAGACCAAGCTGACAACTACAGCTATTACTGATGACAGAAAACTGATGAAGACTCCTCTAAATCTGGAGCGGCTGGAGACACAAGCCATGCCCACATCCACGACTTACGGGGTGCCTACGGTGAAAGAAGTCGAGTGACCACCAGTCCTTGTACCCCACCCACCACACTGAGGCCCAGAGAAGCTATCATTTACAATGAGGTCTCTTACATTCAGTAGATGGTGGGCATGCTCAAACTCAACCCGTGTCCTGGCTAGCGAGTTTGTGTGTGCAGAATCAAGCCCTCTGTTGATGCTTCCATTCAGGATCCCATTGACTCCACTGGGGCCTTTATGGTGAGGATGAGAACAGCCGTTGGTGAGGAAGCCTCCGTGGACACTCCCATTGATCCGGGCTGCTCCTGAGAGCGTGGCGTACTCTACCATCTGCCCGTTAATCTCTGACCCTTGATAGAGGTATCCTGGAGGATCGTATTCTGTTGAAAAGAATAAACAAGCCCAGAAGGAAAAGCAAAGTCACATACCGAAAAAAAAAATCTTCCCTGCTGAGAAATGTTATTAATGAAACCACTAAGACGCAAAACATGCTAAACTGTTCTCACAATGCTCTGGTAGAGTTGCTGCTATTGTTTCTTTAGAGTGAAGAGTAGTTTGGCATGCTGAGTTAACTCAGACTCTGCTAATAGAAGGAAAATTTTATCAGGGAGAATTACTCCCAGGGGATAATGTGCAAAAGGAAATCATCCAAGCGCCAGCAACGCTTAAGCAGAAGTGCTTAGACTCCCACGCACTGCAGAGAGCTGAAAACAACTGTCAGAATACTGAGTCGAGAACGACTTAAACAGCAGGAAGCAGCACTTTTAGGTAAAAAAGGATGATGACATGTGTCCATCTGCTGGCTGTTCAATAGCTCCTCCCGCCACTGTGCATGCCAAGGGTGTGAGGTTCCAAAGGCAAAAAGGCAATTTTATCCCTTATATTAAAAACACTTGTGCAAATCCTGATTTCCAGAGGCACATCTGCCAGAAACATTTAGAAAAAGAAAAGCTATTCCTATGAATCCTAGCAAAGAAACTCTACAGCCCTGGTGCCAGGCTCTTGCTAGGTGCTCTCCGAGTTTCTCCTGGTCCTGCTTTCCCCACAGGAAAGCCCCCACACCTACTGCCATGCTCCGTGGAGCAGGTCCTGGCTATCTTATCAGTAGATCTCCATTGTTTAGCAAGGTGTCTGACGGGCAGCAGACAATGAGTTTCTTCTGGTGGCATAAATGGCTGAATAAATACTCATGATAATTTTCCATTTTGTAAAGATATTATCATCACAAAGAAAAATGACTTCTTATCAGATCAGTCTTGCTCACATAACCAGAACAATGCTTTCCTACTCAACACACACACACAATTAGTAAAACTTTAGAACCATTTAAAGGCCCAATCAAATGGTCACAAGCTTTGTAGCCTGATGTCATCAATCCAGTCATGCCTCTTTTAGAAGGCACTGTCCAATCAAAATACACGATTTTTTTCCCCCAAGAGTTACTAACTTAAAGGGGGAGAATCTGACAATGGTTCCTGCAAATACTTATCACTATGGGTTTCCCCTTGCTTTTCTTTTATTTCCTTATTCTTGGGCCAAAAAGGAAAACCTTCCCCTCACCCTCACTGATGTCTGATAACCCTGCTTGACTTGGTTTTAGTGTTTCAAACGGTTGGGGACAGGAACAATACCATCATCAATTTAAAATCACGCCTCTTACTTGATGTATTTGTATGCCACTTCAGAGTTGTGCAGGTATAGCAGTTAGAGTCAGGGCCACGCTATCCCCGCTCATGGCACCTACTGACGGTGTCTAACAGGCTTCACTGCGCTCCTTTCTGTCAAGGCATCCCCTGTTGACCAGACTTGCACCAGCACGAAGATGTTCCTACAGTGATTCCAGAACCAATGCTTCAAGCACTCATCCTCTTTGGTGGTCCAACAAAGTCAGGCTTTCCCAGCACCAAGACAGCTATTTACTCAGAAACCTGCTTAGCTTGGGCTTTGGTGTTTGTTTCTATTGGGAAATTTAATGTGATGCTCCACTTACTTTGGCTGGCAGCAGGAATGGCTCTAAAGTCACCCACCCCCTCTGAGTGGAGAGTCTAGCAGCTTTCACTCCGGGGCACAAATACATGAAAGTGTTAGGAATCAATATTTATTCTGACAATATTTTTTCTACCCATCTTTAGAAAAACACAAGGAAATACTTATGACTCACTCTGTATGGCACTCTGCTGGCGACTCTTCCACAAACACAGCGCAATGAAAACCATAAGAATGAGGACCATAACACCAAGCACACAGCCAACGATGAGGTACAACATATCACTGCTCCTGGCAGGGCTGGTCGCAGGCCCCACATGCCCTCCGTTTCCCGAAGAACTGGGAGGGGTGCTCAAGTCTCTCACGGGATACTCTGAAGCTCCAGGAACACGTTTTACTGGATGAAATATTAAAAAAAAAAATGAAGTCAGAGTGAATACAGGGCTTATGAAATGGACTCTCCGAAGGAGGTCTGGCTGGGGAGGCAGGCTGGTCTGTTTACACTCCTCACGGAGATGATATGACCACCAGTGAGTCACAAGGAGAGATCCAGAATTTGAAATTCTGATCAGCCAGAGTTTTAGTCCTCAAATTTTTGAGCAATTCTAAGAGCCAAGAAACATACAAATTGGGTTGACCCAAACAGCTGTATGATGATCTGCTGGGCTGGGCTCACAGAAGACTCCCCAGGTTGAACTAAAATACTTCAACTTATGGACAGAAAACAAAACAAAAACAAAAGAAACACACAAAACAAAAGTAAGTCAGTGTGATATCTTTTCCTCTAAATTAGATTTAGTGCTTTACTCTCCTATCATGTAAAAAAGGAACATTAGACAATTAACTTTGATATAACATAGCAACTGCACATAACCCAAAACACCTTATGTATCCTTTAAGCACCCCCAACAAGGCCACTAGAGTCCATATAAACACGGTCCTCTTTCCTACTTCATGGGTATTCTGGGCAACTGTGATCACAAACTTATTTAACAAATGGGACACAAACTCCATTCTCACCATCTGCAAGTCACATGTTCTTAAAGCTCTAAATGTCAGAAAAGTCCCACTCCGTCGTAAGCAGAGTATAGTAGCTGACGGCCCATTCTCTGGAACCAGGATCCCCAGGTTAAAACTCAACCCTCCCACTTAAATCACGTTCACTTCCACGAACCTGGTCTGTGTTCAGAAAAATGGAGATAAAAAAAGAGCTCCATCTTAAGGCTGTAACAAAAAGTGCTATGGTCTGAATTTAGCTGTCTTTAAACTCATGGAGAAAGGTAACCACAATATAACAACATTAAAAAATGTAATTGGTGATTAGGTAGTCAGGACCTTATCTCCACCAATGGATCAACACCACTATTACAGGAGTGGGTTTGAATGTAGACTCTTTATGTCTGGTCTAATTCACTTGCTCTTCCAATATGCTATGACACAGACTGGAGGCTCTGACAGACTGTCACCACTAAGTCCGACTTCCCAGCCTCCATTCAATAAACTCCCACCGGCTATAACCTGCAGCTGATAATGAGGGATGCTATTCTGAACACAGCCACATGACCAGAAAATACACTATGATACCGTCTCATATGATTCCTTCTTTGCAGGGCTGGGGACAGACACACCACTTTGTACATGCTATGCAGGTGCCTTCTCTCTGACCTATAACCATAGACCAGCATTGTTTCATCTGGTGTCTGCTAAGATTTATATAAATAATTTTGTGCATATATATGCACATGTGTGTTCTGGCACCCTTAGAAGCCAGAAGAGCATTGGATCCTCTGGAGCTATAGAGTTATAGCACGTGTGAACCATCCAGCATAGGTGCTGGGAACCAACTGCTGTGCTCTGCAAGAATAGTCAACCTCTCTAGCCCGGTCTGGCAAGACTCTTAAGGTGTTGGGTAAAGAGATGACATACTTCATTTGATTATTCTGAATGTCACAGCAGTCTAGAAACAAGCAAGAACTCCTAAGTGCATCACAATGCTGCCTTCAGAAAGGTACTCAGACAGATAGAATCCAAACGAAATTCAAGATAAGGTCCAGGTGGACAGATGGCTAATGCAGATTTCATGGGAGAGCTTTTCAGCAGAAAGACACATGACTGAGAATTTCTAAGCAGGAACTAAGCCTGGCTTTGCAATTCAATCTTGAGTCTTTGTTTCCTTGTTTTATTCCTTTTCTCATCATCAAATAAAAACAATTGTAGCCGACACTAATGGCTAGTCGAAATATCCAACTTTCTTCTTCCACACCACCCAAGCCTTCTTCAAAAGATCCTCCTTAAGGACTGGGGATGTAGCAGAACGCAAAGCCCTGGGTTTGAGCCCAACACCACATAAACTGAGTATGAGGCTGTGTGCCCATAATCTCAGCATTCAGGAAGGGCCGGGAGTTCAAGGCTACATAGGAAAACATGAGACACTGTGTAAACTAATGATGATAATAAACTTAATAATAATTATTATTATCTTCTAAAATAGGCATTACCAGATCTCAGCATGCCTACATGACTAGATAAAAGCCAGATCCCTGGCTGGCTATGAGCAGTGCTGCACTGAGGGCCCCACTGACACCTAGGAGAAAGCAAAGAGGAAGGAGAAGACACAGAACTTCCTAAATGATCTCAAAGATGGTTCCCTACTTCTCACTAAGCAATGGGACAACGGAGATCCGCAATGGAGACTTTTGTGTTAAAGACCATTGAGAAGAGTCCGAATGAGGTATAAAGACTTCCAATCTGCTTTATGAACAACCAGATTAACCATTTCTTCTGTCCCCATGTGGTGTTTCCTCCTTTTAAAGATCCCCCTATAGTCATTCTCTGGGTGCAGGCAGAGTTGAGAACGACAACTTAAAATCTGTGACCGCTATCTTAAACTTAACACATTATTAAACATGTAGCTAGTACATGCATCCATCACTCAAGAAACTGCTTTCAGCAGGTTGCCATGGCCTCAGTGTATCCTCCAGTCCCCAGTGTAGCCATGTAAAGAGTTGGGGCCTAGAAGGGACTCCCAGGGTTCCCGACTCAGAAGGAACTGCTTACGTTCTTGTGAGGTCCTAATGGTTCTCATGAGAGAGATGTTATAAAGAGCAGGCTGCCCCTGTCTGAACTTCTTGGCTTTCTGTCTTGCCAGATGACCAGTTCCTCTCATGTGCACTCCTATCCCTGTGATGCCGCCTGTCACAGGTCCTCACAGACCTGAAGAGCTAGGAGCTCAACACACTCCCTTTCCTTATGCAGTCCTCAGCCTCAGACACTGCATTATCATAACTGTGACACTAGGGTAGTACTTTTCCTTAATCTTTTATAGTTTTAATTATATTTTAATTTTCATAGAAAGTAGCAAATATTTCTACTCTCTTTATGAAGAATAAGAAAAAGGAAGTGATGTATATATGGTCACATGGAAAGTAATGGGCACCATCACATAGACAATATTTTAGATAAGCGTTCTTTCCAACACAATGTACTTCTATGGGGGCAGTATAAATGCATGCATCTAGAAAGGCGTCCAAAGCAGAATTTGCATGTAGAAATATCCCCATAGCTCTAAAATGTGATCTAGTGTTTGGGATTCTAACACAGGCCAGGAAGGAATGCAGGCTTCCGCACGTGTCCTACCTTTGGTCTCGCAGATCATCACGTTGCTGAACTCGCTCTCCCCGCCTTCGTTAAAGCACTGCATCTTAATGTCATAGGAGGTTTCCGGCTGCAGGTGACCAATCGTGTGCCACTGCTTTGAACCTAGAAAAGAGATGCGAGAGACAAACTGTGGACACCACGCAAGCTTGTGACACAAATGTGCGCATTCCGTGCTTTCAGAATGAGATTTATCAGCAGCGCTCAGCATTTCACACAGCCTGTGAGATAAAAGCATCCGCCACGTGAGCCCTTTGACTGCATCATGGATGAACAGCGTTTATACCAAGTGGCACGTAAAACAGGTGAAGAGATGAACTCAAAGGGTATCTGGGGTGTTGGCAGCAATACTGGTTGTTATTAAAAATTAGTGGTGAGCCTTTAATAAAAATACATGGATAGGGGGGAAAGTATCTCAAATCCTCATTTTAGTCCTGCAAGTCTGGCCACTATGCCCGCCCACTAAAACTTCAGCAAACAGTGCATGCCCGACCCTGAGGTTGCAGGGAAGCCTTTCACAGAACCCTCGTCCACTGCCATGGACACATCACCGGCTGCCGCGGAGCCACAAAAGGCAAACAGCCGCTGTGCCCAAGACCTCTGTCCTTTTGAGTCAGAGCCCCAGAACTGCACAAGTGTCTCCACTATTAGGGCTTGTTATCTGTGGCATGCGGCCAACATTTCATCTAGAAATACTCCCAAACTGAGCACGCCAGTGTAAATCAGCCCCGTTCTCACTTTCATGGATCTGTGACAAACTTTCATAAACAGAGACACTTTTGCCAGATCTAATTAACTCTTCAAGTACTCTTAATCCCATTTAGAAATTGACTCTTTAAACTATTTCCAGTGTTTCCTAGAAATCCAAGCATACCACCGACCGATTTAAGAATTAATTAAAGGGATAGAAAGAAACAAAAAAACCGCACCGCACGCATAAGTCAAATGTGCTTGGTTGACAGGACCAGGATCACAGGCTCCTTTCTAATTCAACACAGACAAAAACACTTCAGCCCCTTTCCAAGTCACCACACAAAAACCCCTCATTCACACAGACTCGCATTTTATAGGGAAGAAAATCTGCTTGTCTGAGATCAAGTGTCTCTGAGAGGCATTAGGAGTGGGTTCTAGACTTGTAAAGAGATAACTCCCCTCACACCCCAATTTTTTTTTTTAAACAACAAACTGGTTAAAGCTGGAATGGGCCAATTTCTAAAATGCAAAAATTCCCCGTAAGGCTATTCTCACTCTAGCCCTTTGACTTTTCTGATTCTACGCCTATCTATAAACATCTCCACTAGACCCAGGGCACTCCCTTCAGAGAACCAGTAATGGGATTCAGCTTCTAGCAATGCTTCCGGTAACGGGGTTCTGGTTTTTAGGAGAAAACAGTTACAATAGACATCTTCTTGGATTTGTATTTCAGCGTTATAGCCAATCTTTCCAATAGCAAAAACTATAGGTTGGCAAACAGAAGTCATTTTTATCCTTGACAAGTAAGATAGCTATGTGCACTGTTGTGTCTAAACCCAACCAATGAGTGTACACCCTGTGCTAAGCCTCAGGCATAGAACTGCAGCGCACAATGAGCTTTATACATGGGGATCTGGAACTCCTCTCAACAAGACAAAAGTACTCCACACAAAAACACTGGCAGGCTGACAACATTTGTAGTTTACCCAAATGTGGCAAAGAATTTAGAAGATCTGATAACATAAGAAACGCAAGTGTTCTTATTGTAGTCTGGTCACTAAAGAGAGAATGAGGGAAAGGGGTGAGACCTAAATTTTGGATCAATACACACATAACTAGCCAAAATCTCTTTAGAGAAAAGTTTAAGTACATTCTGCAAATGAACATTTTGTTCCTGGATTTCAGAGAATAGACCAATAGCTCCAGTTGCCACAGGAAGAATTTCAAATGAATAAACTTGAAAATAAGGAATAAGCAAATTACACAGCACACTGGATCCCACTTAAACATCCAACTGCTCAGTGTGCTACATTTATAAACAAGCTGGCCAAGAACCGGGGAAACTCCATCTGCAAGCGCTGCGAGACCTGGAGTGCCGGTGAACGCTCTTCGAGTCCCAGGCTCACATCAGGTCAAAGATTCCTCTGAAGAGCACAGTTAAAACCTGTTAACCCACAGGGATTCCTAGAAAGTACAAGGAGGAAGGTGAGGAAGAGGGAGAGGGACCCAGAGAGCTATTCATGCCACTTAACGTCGGCTTTGTTTAGAGCCATCTTATGCCAAATGTTTAACCAATGTCAAAAGTTTTCAAAATAAAAATCTGATATCCTCATTCTTCTAAATCATCTAAACTAAAACAAAGACTTGGACAGAACAAAATGCAGAAGTCATGATTATCTTTCTGTGTTTTCTAACAGCCTTTTGATTGACGGAAAGCATGCAAACTGAAGAGCCACACACTATGCATAGCACACTGAATGTTCACAAACCAACACACACCCAAGGCACGAACGTCTAGACCGCCAAAGAATGCCTCCTTCCCACTGTCTCCTAATGTTCCTTAGGTTCACTTCTCTCCCTCAAGGTGGCTACTGATGACTTCTGAGAGCAGAAAAGAAGAATGCCACTAACCTTACAGCAGAAAAGAAAGAACCATTCCTCCATTCAAAATACAGTCATGTGCAGTTACCCTACTAAGCATAAAAACCCAGACTGCAAAGATTTTTACTAAGTTACAAAAATAATTCCACTGAATAAGTACTAAAAGAAATCCTACAGGAGCTGGAAAGAGTGAGGAGCACTTGGCCATTCTGTAGAGGACATGGTTTGGTCCCAGCACCTACATGGCAGCTTACAATTGATCCACAACTTCAGCTCCAGGGGATCTGACTCCCTCTTCTGACCTCCGAAGGCACCAGGCACACACCTGGTACACATACATACATGTGGGGAAATATTCATCCATGTAAGATAAAAACATATAAAATCTCAAAAAACATCTGTAATATTTAATATTATATAGCATATTTAAACTAATTTTTAAAAAAACCTATGTATTTAATGGCAGGAAGTAATATGGTAAATCCTAGGCCTAGGACAATTTTCTGACAAGATTTGCTACATGTATATATATTTATGTATACTGGGGTATATGTATGTGTGCATGAACTCACGGCCCAGCACATGCTAAGAACATGTGCTATGTCTGAACTACTATACATCCAATCAAGACATTCACTATTTCAAAAGGTCAGAATTTACACTGAAGACAGAGCTTGGAAGACGTTTTCCTCCCAAATCAAGAAACCCATCTATAATACTACCAAGAATCGAGCATCTGGTTTGTACCTGATGCTTCCAGACTCCAGGAAACTGTGAGGGAACCTAGACATTTATGTCAGAAAGCTCTTCCCTATTTCATTCCTTAGAACCACCCGTCTCGACTGAAGCAGCTCCCACCCCACACGAAGGTCTGCTGGTTCCCCAGCTCTCATGCTGGTCCCTGCCCCAGCCTGCTTGTCACCAGACACTCCACTGCTCTTCCTCTGAACAAGCCCATCAACATCAAACGCATCACCACAGAAGGTGCAGGGAACACAGCAGAGGGAACAGAGATCCCATGTCCAAAGGAAGTTACCATTTGTAAGAGAAACATGTAATTCCAAACACTGGTGCTCACATATCTAGACTTTGATAAAATGTTATGAAATAAACACAAAGGGCTTATTTTGGTTAGAACTCCAGGGAAGACCAGGTCTGAGGAAGAGGCATATAAAGTCCCAACAGAGAAGAATGAGAATACCCATGCAGAGGGTTAGGAAAAGGGGACGGTGGGTGCAGAATGGTTCCTGCCACCAAAGGTTTGCAGCACACTTAAGATGTGATCATCCTAGTACAGAGACACTGAGGAGACTTTCCTTTATAAAGTAGTAACAAGTTGCAGCTGATTTATGCATTCAGGTCACTGGTAACTAAAAAAAAAAAGTCAAAATTTTTTTTTCAGATAAAATACTGACCAGTCATCTTCTCCCATACTTTTATACTTGTCTGTAAAACAAAATCAGGTCACTATAATATATATTACATATAGGTGTGCATGTGTGTAACATACACACATATGTGTAAATGTGTAAATATATGCATATATACCCACACACATATGTATGTGCTGTATGTGTGTGTATATATACTGGGAAATTGGGTTTCATTGGAAGAAACATAATAGCATAAACCAGATCATTTCTAACTCGGTCTCAGCCTGTGATGACGGGTCATGATGTTTAGCCCCTCCCCACAAAATCACTTATGCAGGGGCTCCGGCTTACCAAGGGACTCACCTTCAACAACATCCCTCTTGTAATCGCTGTCATTGTCACTGTCTGTAGGCCGATAATAGATATAAAATCCTTGAATGGGAGTGTTATTATTACTTGATGGAATATACTAGAAAACAGAAGCAAAGACTTGTCAAAGGCAAAAATAAAAGTAACAACCACATTTCCTTATGTGTATGGTGATGTTTCTCTAGCTTTGTTGTGCAATAAGTAGCCACTTTTTAACCTGATGCAGAGATATTTAAGGGTATATGAGCATTTAGCTTACTACAGAACTAAACAAAACTAAAACAGTAGACACTTCACTAGAAAATAGCCTACACTTCACTAGCTTCCAAAAAAAATGTACACTTGATTCAAAAAGAATAAAAGTATCAATTAGGTTAACATCTGGATGAGAGCAGAAGAAACAATAATTTCACTTCAACCCTGTCTCTTAGAATATGTGCGTTAGGCAAACATGAGTGCCCTTCCGTTTTCCCACAGTTAGGAGTCCAACAACTGGTGGCTCATAACATCACGTCACAAGGGCATTACAATGACAGGAACGCTCACTAACAAGAAACCCATTCACCTACCGTCCACTTGAGCACAATCTGAGTATCGCTGACAGCCTCTGTGTATGCGATGTGAGGTCCGGTTATTGGGCGGTTGGAAAAGCGATTTGGGAAGCCAGCCACCTGGTAAGGACGGGATGCTGAGCTCCGGAAACTCTCACCATAATGGTTGATAGCAATGACTCGAAATTTGTACGTTGAACCTTGGGAGAATGGGCAAACACAAAACATTTTTAATAAAAACCTATGATGATGTTGTGCTGCATCTAAAGAATAAAATAAAATCTTAAAGCGAGTGTCCTCGTCAGCCAAATACAATCACTGACGATTTTCAGTCTGGAATGTGTCACTTGGGTTCACCCATATCTAAAGCTGCTGTCGTTTCCCAACTAGCTACATCTGTTCCCCACGGCAGAGAGTTAGACACTGACACCCACTACATCTGTGTATTTAAAAATTCAGGAGCAGAAGTGGTCATGAGCCCAAACAAAAGTATAAGTTTATTCTCACTTTTTTAAAAGTCTCAAGGTTTGGGGGTAAATGGGATTAGAGTAACAACTTAATATCCAGAAATTAAATGGTTAAGGGGTGGGGGTGTAGCTCAGTGGTAGAGCGCTTGCTTAGCATGGGCAAGACGTTGACTTCTAATTTCACCACTGAAACAACAGCAACAGCAACAAAAGTATGACACGCTTAAAAAGTTAGATATAAAATGAGGGGTGCAGCGCTGTACTTATGGAAAGATTCCAGGGCATATAAAGACACAGAGAAGAAATATGCCAAAACATAAACACTGTCTATGGATGGGTATAGTTCAGACAACTTATTCTTTTCTTCATATTTTCCTTCTTTTCAAATTTTTCCACAGTAAGCATTTGTTACCTCAAAAAATAGCCCCCCCAAAAAATATTACCTGGTTCTAAACTACGAACTTCGACAGAAAGTTTGGAAGGAGGGATATCTTCGGCAGCCACCAGCCAATCACTAGTCCTCATCCGTTTATACTCCACCTTGAAGGCTGTGATGGGCGAGCCACCATTTGCCCGGGGAATCCAAGTGACATAGACGGAGGTCTCTGATGCTGTAGAGATAGTAGGCCGATCCGGCGCCTCTGGGACTGAAAATTGAACATTCATTACACCATCACCATGGTGCCAGCGACAGGAATAACCTACAAATACTATGAGGGATAAAGCCCAAGCCCTGTGTTAAAGGTCCCTCACCAACTTTTTGTCATAGCTAATAATTTACAGCCTGTTTCCCTGTCCTGTTTAAAAGCTAATAAAAATGTACAGGAGAGGAAATACAGGAAACTGGAAGGAGGGAAAGTCGAATGATTACAGATATGATAAATAACTCACAAAGAAAGAGCTAACGAACATGAATGTTTCTGCCATTCTATTTTAGAATGACGACTAAAGCCAGGTGCAAGCAATTATTTAATTTTGGTTATGGTAAATGAACAATTCTCATAAATGCTTTCTTATTTGAAACGTTTTCAGAATTCCGTAAAAGAAACCCCAGAACCTATGGATGGGTACAGTAACTGTGACTCTTACCCTCCTTGAATACACCTCAACCCTTCAGGAATTTGCTGCTCTGAAACAGTCTGTCAGCGCATGCACAGATAGACCAGGACAAAACCAGCGCCGGCATGGTAGCGAGGGAAGGAGAGGATGTGAGGGAGACAGAAGCAGCACACAAAGAGACGATGACACCGACAGAGAAAAGTGGGCCAGAGAGCTCATGCACAACGGCTTGCTGTGGGCACGACCACAAGACACAGGTTAGGACTAGACCTTGTGGCAGATGGAAACATCGGGAGTGAGGTCCCCAGCCTTTAAACCAAGGGCCTAACTTCCCTTGCTGAACAAGCAAGCCGGTGGTTGTAACTGGCTTCCTTCGTGACTCCTACAAGAGTGGCCCACAAAATAGTTACACCGAACCCCATTAAACAGCCATTCTGCTTTCACCTCAGCCACCTGTGAGTCCGGTGGACATCTGGCTTTCAAGGCCAGTGGGTCCTCTGGAGTGCTGGTAGTAAGTTGCTAAAGCTGGACACGGAAGGCTGACCCGGGCCACGGTATTGGGGCAGCAACTAAAGAAGCCTTATCTTTCTCTGAGTCTGTGCTTCTCAAGCAACTTGTTAACAACTCAGCATGGACTCAACCCTCATTTCCAAGGCATACGAAGGAAGTCACACTGAACATGGCACGTGTATGCAGAAAACCAGGGTGTTTTACACAACAGATGGCTTGGGGGATAAACAGACGGAGGCATTGGCAGGCGACTGCGGGCGGTACTTACTGTATTCCTTTCCAGAAGAAAGCAATGGAAAGAAACGGAAGGAGCAGAAGTGTTAATGCGGCTCTTTACTGAAAACCAAGCGACTTTCTCAGGGTGACTGCGCAAGGTTCAAACTCACCAAGTGCCACAGGTCAGACAGGAAGGAGAGCCACTGGGGAGAGCATGTCTACAGGGAAGAGCACACTGTCCCTTTCACACAGCAGCTCCACTGGCTAGCACACAAGCTCTCCTCCTCCAGAAGCAATTATACACAACAAACGAATCATTTCACGTGTGTGTCTCAGTCTGGAGGACTCCAAATTCAGAAGCTTCACCTACAATCCTTTGAAACGGTTCCTTGTGTCCATTCCCACACTTCCTCCCTCTCATTCAGCACAGACTCCATTACACTGACCTAGGCTCTATCCTTCTTCCCTCTTCTGCATCCAGTAGTGTCATCTTCCTACTTCTCTAGGTGGGTCTTTTGCATTTCTTCCTCTTTAAAATCCTCTAGGGCTTTTTTTTTGAGGGGGTAGCATGAATGTAGTCCCCCTACTACCACAAATTATAAAGTTTCTAGGATTTGGGGGACTCATAGGGGTCAATACACCCCAAGTATAGTAAAAGAACCTTGCCCTGAGGAAAGCACTTCATGATCCTGGAATCTCCCTTGTCAGGCTAAGTACGAGGACTCCTCATAGCTCCCAAGAAAAGATTACATTTTTAAATAATGTCTTACTACAGTTTATTTATATATTTATTCATGTGTGTATGTGTGTATGTATTGTGGGTAGAGAGACATCTGATACAGCACGTGTGTGGAGGACAGAGGACAATTTGCACAATCCATTTCCCGTCTTCTTTCACTGTGTATGTCCCAGGGGTCAAACTTGGGCTGTCAGGCAATAAGTGTCCTTACCCACCGGTATCCTAAAACACCTACCTGCTTCCTTACACTACTATCGTCCCTGACAGCAATAAGCCACACTAACTGAACACAACACGTCATCTGCCCATCTGCATAAGCTATCTTGGCCTGTCCTGCTCCTTCATCTGAGACATCATTCTTGTCTCCTGAGGCTCAGCTCAAGTTGCCAAGCAGCCGTGTGAACCACCATGTGCCCTCCTTTGTATGGAGGTGAGAGTTGCGTACTCTCCTGAGGTTCCAAATCACCAGGAGTATAAGCACGGGCGGAATGGACAAACTGGCTGTGACTGGTGTGCCTGTGTATATCCGTTCTACTGCTATAAGCTGAGCTGTCTCTTCATTTTCTAGCAGTCAGTTTACTGGTGTGTGTGTGCTCTGATGTCTGTATCACCCACTAGGCTTTAAATCCTTGAAAGCAAGGATTATTTTATCTCTGCTGTACTGGCAGTCAGTAACGTCTACATGTTGGGTTAAGTAAACAGTAAAATATTCACCTATGAGGTGCAGTCTTAACACTTATAAAGTTGATAGTCACATAAGTAGTATGCTTAATGTAACTGAAAAGTAGCTCTGAAGTGAAAGTCCTTGGATAAGTAAGGTTTGACTTCAGGCCTAAACAAGCACACACACACACACACACACACACACACACACACGTGCCCAAATACACACACACGTACATTACACACACACACATACACACACACACACAAAGTAGCTATTCAGGGTAGAACATAACCTAAATAACAAATGTCCCATTCTATCCTATCTCCCCATGTGAAAAAGGACACTGACATTATAAACAAACAAGATGAAGATTCTTTACCTCCGCTATGCCTAGAGGAATCCGTAAGCACAACTCCGAAATTGCTGTTGGAAGCCTCTGAAATAACAGGACGCTTAGGGATGCCCACAGGTAGAAAGGATGCCTGGGTGTTTTTTGACGATGTCATTTTTTCTGTAAAGTATTTTTTAAAGAAACAATAAGCCAATAAGAATATATATATAGGGGCTGGAGAGATGGCTCAGTGGTTAAGAGCATTGCCTGCTCTTCCAAAGGTCCTGAGTTCAATTCCCGGCAACCACATGGTGGCTCACAACCATCTGGAATGAGGTCTGGTGCCCTCTTCTGGCCTGCAGACATACACACAGACAGACTATTGTATACATAATAAATAAATAAATAAATATTTAATATATATATATAAATATATATATATATAACCAAAACAAAAATTATTAGGAAACATAACCAGCTATAAAGAGATCTGTGTCTCTGTCTAAACACAATACCTCCCTTTTACTTAGCTCATGTCAACAACTGGGGCAAAATTGTTTTGTCTTTCTCTAGTATCATTAAAAGAAAGCTAAATGTCTTTCTTCATGGTACTACTTGAATTGACATGTGGAAGAAACTACTGTATTGTTTGGCTTTGATGTAAGCTTGCCACAAGTTAGAGGCATCTGAGAAGGGAGCCTTGCGTGAAGAACTGCCCTGCTGTCCTCACCGGTGTGGAAGACCCACCCCAGGCCTTCCGGTAGCAGACCAGATCGGCTCGCTTGGCTTCCCTTTGAAGCTGAGTAGACTCAACCAGCTGCTGCTACTGCTTATTCCAGTGTTTCCAGTCTCATTGCTGACTGAGGACAAACGCTTTCCAGGAACCTTCCAGGTTTTCAGCACCAGACTGGGACTGCTGAGGCCGCAATCCTCCTGGCTGAGAAAGTACCAGGTTGTTAGCTCTCCAGTGAGAGTCAGCACTGTGAGGCTGCTCCAACTGCTGAGCCACTGGGCCTCCAGGACTAAGAACCACCTGAGATTCTCAGCCCAAGAGACACTGGTGTTACCACTTAATATGAGCTAGTTTAACAAAGTCTATGTCATGTCTATGTCCTTCTATGTATGTCTCTGCCTATGTCTATGTGATTGTGTATATGTCCATGTCTGTCTGTCTATGTCTATGTGTATGTATATATGTCTATGTATGTATGTGTATGTCTGTTTATCTATGCATGTTTATGTCCATCTTTACCTATGTTTGTCTAATGTATGTATATATCTATGTCTATGAACTTGTACTGGTTCTGTTCTAGAGAACCTTGACTAATACAACAACATGAGAAAGAAGCCATATAGGGACTTGAACAAAGGTTCTGATTAGCCCATTTTCCTTTTTGTTGCATGTATTCATTCCAAAATAATACTTATAATTAAGGAGCTTCTGTTGTTTTTCCACAGAAAAATACCACACTGACTTTTAATGTTTCAACAAGTAAAAGTGAAATTGGGTTTTTGATTTTTTTTTTTTTTTTTTAGTTTTTAAACAGGAACAGCTAGCTATTCAGTGGTTATAGGCCAGACTATAACTAGGACCGAGTGGTGAAAACTAACTGAAGATTCATTTAAAATGGGAAGTACCCAACAGTGAACAAACAAAAGTCCTTTCCCAAAGGCACTGGACGCGTCCTTCCCAATCCTGAGGCCATTTCCCTTACAGCACTGCGTTGTGGAATATTTGTTAACTATGGGAAGATGTGTTGAATTTGTTCAACTATGAAAAGATGTGTTGCTGTTTTACTTTGTCTGCGTAAGGCACCTGATGGGTCTAATAAAAAGGTGAGTGGTCAATAGTGAGAGAAGAGGTATAGGCAGGACTTCTAGGCAGGAGAAAAAGAAGGAGGAGGAATTTAGAGTCAGGAAGAAGAGATGATAAGGAGACAGCAGGGGCCAGACAGACAGACAGAGGAAGTAGAAAAGTAGGACATACAGAACAAAAGGTAAAAAGCCCTGAGGCAAAATGTAGATAAATTAGGAACAGGTTAAATTAAGTTTAAAAAGCTAGTGGGACAAGCCTAAGCGAAGGCTGAGCATTCATAATTAATAATAAATCTCCATGTCTTTATTTGGGAGCTAGTTGGCGGCCTAAATTCCACCTACAACACTGGGGTAGAGCATGCTTCTTTGGGGTTCCACTCTCTACCTCTGAATTATTTCCCTGTATTTGGTTCACTACAGAATGGCCTCTTTCTACCTGGACTCCCCTCATGAGATGCTCATCAGGACGATCCTTCTGGAATTCTGTCATGGTGCTGTTCACATTGTCTTTCCGCCACCCTACCCCCCTCCATTACACCTGACTCCATAACTCCAGCCCAAATGTTCCAGCTCCTCCTAGCTCACTGGGCATCACCAGCAAAGACTGGTAAAGTTCCACAGAGTGCAGTGTGACTCAACCACACTGTCACACAGAGAGACAGACATCATCCCTCTTTGCTCATCACAGCGGCCCTTTGGTGTTTCTGGTATGCATACCAAGCACTTCGTTTCCCCTGATGTGTAAGGGTTTTCTACATCCCCTTCTCTAAACAACTCACTGCTGACTAATCCTGCCCATATCCCTGGCCAACTGTTCACAATAACTCAGACACTTCCCAAGTCCATCCCTGAAGTTACTTCTTTGTTAACACTACCCCCAAGGTGCTTAGAACTTGAGCACGTGCTCCTCCCACCGAGCACATAAACTCCATAAGATAAGCGTTGTTGATTTTCTGTACTGCTCAATGCACGGACAGCATTTCGTAAGTCCCAGAACCACACTGGACTTTGTCTGGAATGTGAGCTGAGTATGCACTTCACCTTCCTCATCAGAGTGTAAGCTGCACTGGGTCGGATCTCAGCCTGACTACCTTTGATACACCTGCCATGCCCACCTCAATGCTGCTCAGCATGAACTGCAAAAATGTGTGTAGACATAATACAACATACATAATACAACATACATAATACAATACAATGGAATGAATAGTACAACCCCTTAAGTGTAGCCTCCAAAAGGTGCTGCAGTATGCATGTATAATGAATTTGTATATTGTATTTCTACTCTCCAACAGGATTCTGTTTACCTATTATGTATACGATATTCTGTCTATGTGTATGCCTGCAGGCCATTAGAGGGCACCAGACCTCATTCCAGATGGTTGTGAGCCACCATGTGGTTGCTGGGAATTGAACTCAGGACCTTTGGAAGGGCAGGCAATGCTCTTAACCTCTGAGCCATCTCTCTCCAGCCCTCCAACAGGATTCTTACTAATAAATTGACATGAAGTAGCCAGTTTACTCTGCTGGAAGATGTCGCTCACCTTTGCTGGTCCGGAAGGTAAGCATGGCAGGCTGGCCTTCACCAGCTGCACTTCTGGCCACCATCAAAACTTCATACAGACTCGATGGCTCCAGTTCAGTTAGATGCAGCTCGTTTTCACTCCCTGGGACACGAACCGTGTGCCAGCTGCCCACTGCACCACTGCCGTCATCCAGCTGCTCAAGAGAGACCCAGAATAGTGAGAGATGGCGGGCAAGAAACCTTCCCCCCTCGTTACAAAACTCTAGTGTTCATTCGCAGAAGTGGTGCACTGTTGTCAGCAACAGATAAAATGCCATTTGTCTTATGAAAGGTATTACTGTCGTTAAATAAGAGGACTTGTTAGATTTTGCTTTAATACAAGCCTGCCTGCAGAAAAAAAAAAAAAAAAAAAAAAACATCACCCAGAGAATTTATCAACAAATAGAGAGGGCCAAGCACAACCAAAATAAATAACCAAACCATTTAAAATTCGACTCCCACTAGGAGGCCAGACTACAACACGATGGTCACAGACAACGCCCGGGGGGCTTGCTCCGGCAGGTATACTTTATCTGAAGAGTATTCTACAATCTTAGCAAAGGATAGAACTAAGGTTTACAAAGCAGTTTACAGGTTTGATGCCCAGGGGGTTAAAACAAGAGGTTAGACAGAAGATGGTTACGTGGTAAGGCTAGAGCCAGAGCTCAGTGGTAACCACTAGCCTCGAGTTCCGTCCCCAGCACAGGGTGGGAAGGAGGGAAAGACAGGGAAATGTTATGGTTACTTTGGATTCATACTTCAATTTGGGGGGTATTTATACTCCATCCGTACTGGCTTTCTAAGATCTGTCAATCCAGCCTGACTGGTGGAGATACCACCAACAAACTTACTCTAGAACACTCACCTTTCTACCCTCCCACAAACATAAAACATAAGCAAATGTCTCCCACATACACAGGGTTAAGGAATGAGAAATTAAGAATGAATGGGAAGGCTTTATACCTTTCGGTACTTCACAAAATAGGCGTTGATGGGCAGTCCGCCATCCCTCCCTGCCCTCCACACCAGGTTGTACGTGTCTGGCATGTGGGTCTGTGGGGGGCTCAGGATGTTAGGAGCATCGGGGACGGAGGCGTTTTTCTCTGCTGGCAGCTCCACTCCACTAGAATGCACCTTCACTGGAAACAAGTGCAGCAAGCTCGACTCTGGAGCATCTCCTGGGTCTCGTTCATCATTCTGAGTCACTTCAGAAGGTGTGACCGACTCTGCTTTGGTATTTGTTTCAAAAGGAACTGCATAGAGGGGGACAGGAATAAGGGAAGACGGCTTGAAGAAGTTCACTTTTCCAGCATCTTCTACAAAGTTAATATCAGTGCTTATGCTGACATTCTAAGCACAACTTGAATGTGAGACATTAAAACAAGTACCATTTCCCAGCACTCAGGAGTCAGAGGCAGGCAGAGCTCTGTGAATTCCAGGCCAACCTGATCTACAAAGTGAGATCTAGGACAGCCAGAATTGTTACAAAGAAACCTTGTCTTGAAAAAACAAAAAAAAAAAACAAAACAAAAACAAGCCACATTTTACTGTTTCAGAGTGACATCTAACTTCTATTATCAACCTGTCTACTCATGGGAAAGCAGAGGGATTGTTGGGGAACCAGTAGCAGGACACAATAGTTGACTAGTGAAAATACTTTCATTTTTACTTAGCTTTGTATTAATATTCAGTTTTTTTCAGTAACAATTTAGTAACTCAGTTTAAAAGAACCTGGTGAGTCCAACACAGCAGATGATGCATTCTACTGGGAACAAAGTGACCGAAAAGAACATCGGGAGAGTGAGATGGCTCAGTCGACAAAAGGCACAGGCCCGACACCCTGGACTCCATCTCTAGAACCCACATAGCAGATGAGAAACAACTCTTAAAAGTTGCCCTCTGACCCCCATATGTACACCATGGCATGCACACCCATCTCCACATACATGACAAATAAATGAATCTCAGCTTAAGCTTCAGGGAACCCTATTCCTTCTGTTTTTACTTTTGTTCTCAGGGTTTGGCTGCCCCACAGACATGTGCCAGCTGGTCTCGTGCAGAGAATTCATGGACAACAGACGTGGAGATGAGGGTCCACTTCCACAAAAGTCCACAAGCAGAGTGAAGCTACTCTGGCTGTGTCCTCTTATAGTCAAGTTACAAATCACTAACGCCAAGCAAGGCAAAAGCAAGAACACCCCATCTGCATCTAGCTAACTAGCAGAACAGAACAGAGTGGGAAAGGAACAGCAAAAGGCTGTGCCACTAATCTGAGCAGTCAGTACTCGTTAACAGGTATTGCACTCATGAGGTTTAATCTTAATGAGATCCGGAACCTTCACAGATGGAAACCTCTGGGCATGCTCATGGGGGAGTTTCCAGGCTGAATTAACTCAAGTAGGAAGACCCGTACCCAAGATGGGTAGCACCATTCTATGGGCTGGACGCCCAGAATGCCAGCTGGCACCAGCATTCCCACACACCCCTTCATGGCTGAAGATACAATGTGACCAGATAGAATCCCAGCACAGAGGAAGTGAGGTGGGCACAAAATCCACCACTAGCCAGGAGCTAGTACCAGGATAACTGCTGGGAGAGGAAGACTCAGGTTTGTTTTTTTTATGTTAACCACATAGCAGGGCAGGCCCCACTCCCAAAACTAGTTGGGCAACACAAACGGGACTCGATAAGGGGAAAAAGAAATCTCAAAGTTGGGCAGGAAGTGATGGGAGGGTGGAGGGTCATCATGGGAATAGCTGGAGAAGGGAGGGTGAATATGTTCAAAAAGTGCTATGAAGTCTCAAAAGAATTAATACAAATGCCATTTAAAAATTGACAGTCTAAAGCTTAGCTTCTACAACCAACAGAATTTATAACATATAAAACAAGGTAAAAATAATAATTTTTATACACACAAAGAGGCATATATCCAAAACGACTGAGACCATTTTTGTGCCAAGAATTATACAAAGTATTTAATATGAACCATCTCATTTAATTCTCAGGTAGAGAGGAGACCTTCTCCCTGCTTTGGACGGAAGGTGCTAGAGTTCTGAAACCCTAGGGAAGGGCTGTGGAAGGATGCAGTAGGGTCCTGTGAGAAGAAGAGGGGGAGTGTGAGTGAGATCTGCAGGGAAAACGGCTGTCAGTGTAATAAACCCAAGGACCGACAGCTTGGCTTCTCTCCAGTGCTGCTAATACTGACAATAAAAGACGCCGTTATTCACTCCCTTGAGAAGGAAGTGAGCGGAGGAAATAGTTACCCCTACAATGAAGTCAGAGTCCTCACCAAAGGTGGGTGTGATTTTAGAACACACACACACAAAGACCCAAAAAGACACAGACTACCAGTGTTAGTATAAGAGAGAAAGGCTGTCCTAGAATCATCTCCATCAGAGAAAATAAGAAGCTAGTGTGAAATGCTGCAGAAGAAAACTAATTACGTTCGCTGAGACAACTTGAAAATATTGCTCCTGGAAGGAGCGTGTTTACCTAGTGAGTCAGAATGGAGTGGACATTTAGGGTGGATGTGGTGCCTTTTAGTGCAGAGAAGCGGGCTCTGACGGAAGGGGATTAGCTGTGGCTTGGGTGGTGGGGAAGGACTCTTGTTTCATTAGGATTCTCCAGGCAGCTGACCACTGGGAAGTGGTATCTGGCCACAAAAGCATTTCCATACCACATACCTCAGTTTATACAGAAGCGTAAGAGAAACGCTCTTCTGCAGCCTGTCCACTGCAAGAGCATCACAATTCGGTTTCTCTTACTCCTGCAGTGCAGTATGCCACGACTTTTAAAATGGGGGTGGGGGACTAACTAGCATCCACTATTGCAAAGAATATACTTTGAGTAGTTAAAAGGTTATATTAGGTATTATCTGAAGATTAGCCATACAGATGCTTTTCATTTTATCCCAGGAAACTCATCATAAATTAAAAATATTAAGTTGAAAAGGTACATTTATATTCCCACCCACCGGACACCATCACTTAGCAAGAGCACACTACAGTATTCATGTCTTCCTTGCCTGGAATGGCTGACTGTACTGCCCAGGGTCAGAGTACCACACTCGTCCTGCCAGCCCAGGAAAAGGCCTAAATCCAATTTTTTTTCTTTTGGTTTTTCGAGACACGGTTTCTCTGTAGCTTTGGAGCCTGTCCTGAAGCTAGCTCTTGTAGACCAGGTTGGCCTCGAATTCACAGAGATTCACCTGCCTCTGTCTCCTAAGTACTGGGATTAAAGGCATGCGTCACCACCGCCCGGCAAATGTTTATTTCTACTGAAAGTGTACTACTGTTTCTTGAAAACCTGTAGATAAAATCACTGTAAGTTAAGGGTGGATACTTGAAAGTGCTCATCGTTATTATTATCTCAGTTTATCCTCAAACAACGCTGTAAAGTGGACAGAATTCTATTTCCGTATTTAAAAAAAATGTTTATTCTTTGTAAATTTGACACATTTATACTTTGCATTTTGATCATATCTGCCTATCACTACCTCTCTCCATTTCTCCTGAGCACCCCCACCCCAGTCTCCCAACTTCATGCCCTTATTTTGGACAGATTTGCTTTGGTTTGGTCCTTTGAGACAGGTTCTCACTCCACAGTCTGGGCTAGCCCTGTTGATGATTAGAAGCATGAACCGCCCCCCCCCCCCAGCTTAAAGGTAGACTGCTTTTGAATTAGGAAAAATTATAGGCATGTCAATGAATTCAACGAGTCTACACAGAAACTAATGAAACACAACCACAGCTGACCAAGGCGTTCCCATGGTGACCACTCACATCCACACAACACTGCAGGACACCGCGCCAGCCCCCATTACAGTTACAGATACAACTCACCCTGTAATACTGTACGTCCAAGACCTCAAAAGCTCAAGGTCTCTGGACAGAGAAGAGAGGGAGATGTCACCTTGCTTCCAGACCCTGCTCTCCCTCTCCACACTAAACAAAGTAACCGACAGTTAATGCTGGAGCTAAACGGGGCTCAGGTTTCTATGCAAAGAAGTGCGTTAACATGCAGTGTTTGAGCTTTAGCAAACTCAGCTGGGTCGTAATAATTCTCTGGGGCGTGGAAAGCCCAGGTGGGCAAAATGTAACTGACAGGGTTGCTGCTCATTAAGATGGCATTTACTGGGACAGGATCTGGAACTTAGGAGACTGTGAAAGATCTAATCTAAGCAAGTTAGGTTATGAAATTTAAGTGTTTCAGATTTCACATATTTAAAGTGAGAAAAACAAAATATCTAGTTCCAGTAGCTATAATCATAACATCTACATCTCCTTCTGCTGCTGTACATTTGCATAAAATAATCATGCCTGCCACATTCTACCCAGGCAGCTCCTGTGACCTATCAGCAGCTAATAATTCTAAGCTGTGCCACTTTATTTTGCCCAGTGGAATATATATATACAAATGCATGCACATATGTGCACATACATACTCATGTCTGAATGTATGTAACATTCAACTGCCCCTACTTAAAATTACTAAAATAAGTAACTACCTTTTCCTGCAACAAATATCACAATGAATAACTACAATTTACGAGTAATTAGATAGCAATAACTGTAACCTGATATGTTATATTGTAACACTGTAGCACTTGTAGCCCCATTCTAACAGCTTTCCTGGCCTCTTAGACTTGCATGTGAACAGGACATCAGCCAGCGACACAGATCGGGAAGCAAGCAGAGTTCAGCAACCAGTCCACCTCTAACAGCCATGGAGAGCAGGGCCCTAGCTTTTCCACACTTCTCTTCTAGCCTCTGGGTTTACCCAGAGCTAGAGACCCCGCTTACATGAGAAACAGCAACGCTAACACCCAAACTAGCACCAGCGCTTTTCTGCCAGGACCACGCTAAGGTTCCTCCTCTGCCTTAAGGACATCTATGAAGGACAGGAGAGGCAAGAACACCCATGAAAGCCTGGACTGGGAACTAATTAAAGCGGGGAATTCTGGAGCCCCACAGCCGCTATCTGCAGAGAAGAACACGAACTCCAGGATAAACACTCAACTGGATCCCACTTTATGACCAGAAAAGACATCAGAGGATCCAGGCAGAAAAAGGTCACATGACTTAAAAGGAGTGTGTGCCTAGGGCAGGAACCTGTGTCCCTGTAACAAGCAGTACTGGATATCCTACCGTGTCTCAGCAAACACAGCAACAACCTACTCATCTGACCTGAAGGCTTAACAAACCAACTCAGCCATCTGCTGAGTGAACCTCGGGGAGCATTGCTTTACGTGCCCACTGAAGTAAGGTCAGACTTTGAGTACTTCAAAAGTCGTGTGAAACCACTAAGTCATCATCATCATGACAAACCGAGAGCACAGAAATTCTACTAATCATCCCATCAGGAACATAACTTACATCGCCACATATGGGCATTTGATAGGACCATACGTTTACATACAAGCCAACCCTTCATACCTTAAATCTTGCTTCTCAGGTCGCCTCTGAAAAATACATGAAATTACCTCCTCAGTACTTCACAACCCAAAGCCATTAGCCACAAAGACAGACTGTACTTTGAGCTCATTCCAAGTAAGACTTAAACAAGAAATGGAGACCCAGGCCCACCTGGTTCCTATACAGCAAAACACCCCCAAACATGGCCCTATATTTCATTGCCACAGGGAAAATACACATTCATTAAAATAACATCTCAAATCATTTTTTCCCCACTATAAAAGGCAGTGTTGTACTGAGAAGACTGCCGAAAGCGACTCACCGACTGTGAGGAAGGCTTCGGACCGTGTGGCGCCATGTTCGTTTGTGGCTTCGCAGGTGTATTTCCCAGCATGTTCCTGAGTAACTGCCTGAATAGACAGAGAGCTTGAGCCAGCTCGGGACATGATGAAGTAGACAGGCTCCAGGTTCGGGTCCCTGTGTCGGAGCAGGTGGGACTTTCGGGACTTGGACCTAAGGACCTGAGATGGATGGCTGGTGATCAACCCATGGTGGCCATACCAATGAATGACTGGGACAGGCACTCCAGTGGCATTGCAAGACAAGGTCACAAAGTCTCCGTCCGTCACCTCTACGTTTGCCGGTGCCGTGACTATAACAGGCTTCAGTCCACTGTCTATTAGAAACACAATTCACACAGTCAAAACGAGGAACACGGTAACACCTGCCCTTTAAAGTAATTTCATCCATTGCTAAAACGATACTGCAAAGATATCCCCTCCGACTGGCTCCCTTCTCAACTTTCACCACGTAAAATTGGCAACGAAAAATGCAATGTTTCAGAGCCAGGAGAGGCACTTACCACCAAGCCTGACAACCTGAGTTGGATCCCTGGAACCCACATGAGATCTCTTCCAACCAGGGAAGTTGGAGAGGGATCCAACTCCACACACACACACAAATCAACATAACTGAGGAGTACAGAGGAAACCCCAAGTAAATGTGTAAGGAGAGGATGGACTCCTGAGTGAACATGTATTATTGACAAGAACCTCCATGCCTCAAGCCCATAGGAACTGGCAAAGCCTTGCTCTGGTCCCTGTGGGAATGTTGAGTGTGTTCACAGAACAAAGAACTGCAGCTGTATCGTTCTGGATGACTGCAACCTGAGACTACTCCCCTACAGAGCCTCCTACAGAGGCCAGCTAACCCCCTGCTGTGCTATATAAATAAAAGCACTGGGTTTCTGGGTTGTTGCATTTTAGGGGTTCTCTATCAGAGCACACACAGCCCATCCAATGCCAGCTTTTCTGTCTGTGTGTCTGTCTTGCCATCCGTCAGGCTTCCAATACTGGGTCATGCATGCATGATGTTGTGTGTAATTTGGGGGAGAGCAGTTTTAAGACAGGTTTTTCTGTGTATCTCTGGCTGTCCTGGGCTTGCTGTGTAGCCCAGGCTGACCCCAAACTTAGGGATCCACCTGTCTCTACCTTCTGAATGCTGGGATTAAAGGCATGAGCCATCACACCAGGCTTGCAGTGTATAATTGTTAAAAATTATAATCTTTCGTAATTGTAGGTTCCTCAAATTCCTCACACAGATTCCATGTTCCCCTGAAAGAAATGTATATAAACAAATCTACTAAGATTCCAATAGGTACACGATGCCTACACTTGACTGCTGTAAAGACAGAAGAGGTAAAGCCAGAACCTCAGACCATAATGTGAAAAAAGTAAAGAAGGATAAACTACATAATACTCCTTCAAGAAAATGGATGGTTCTGGTGAAGTCCAATTAGAGAAAATCTGAGAGGAAGAAAACCTATTTTAAGTGAAAACTGGCATACTATTTACCATGGACACGAACAGCATTTTTGTTTCTAAATCAAAATGGCACCAAGTCTTCCCTTCTAGTTCTGGATTTTTTTTCTGAAGAGATTTTTAAGTGAGGCCACAATAAAATATTGGTCATCAGAAAAGACATTTTCTCCCAGCATGCTTCTTTTAATGCAGACCTATTTACCATGTCTGACAAAACTAAAGACACTCCATCTTCACAGATTTCTGAATCTTTGCCAAGTGAATGAGTATGAATGCTCTGACGAGCCCTAACATGCATGTCCCTGAGGACTGATGAAGCTGAACATCTCCTGGCAGGTTTATGTGCCATTCATAAATGCTTTACATGACTTGCTAAAACGTTTGACTCATAGATCATACAAATACCCTCCAACCCAGTCCTCAAAAACTTTCCCTTGTGAATTTATCTTTATGTTCCGTGTGAGTTAGAGATTCAATTTTTGCTTTCTGTTTTCATTTTGATAATTACCACAAGTCAAAACTTGAAGCAAATATCCCCCATGGGGTGTACAATACCAGTTCAGTCAGGCCCTTCCAAGTAAATGTATTTTCGTCAGTCTCTGCCATGTCCAAGAGTTTATTTGTTCCTGTAGCAATCTAACTTTTGAAAACTGTACTGGCTTTTTATGCTTACAGCAAGTGCCCCATGCTTTTAGAGTACATTAGCTACTCTTGGGCCTCTGATTATCTTTATACCTTTTATAATCATTTTCTCAAGGGTACACACACACACACACACACACACAGGCACATATACTCTCATGTAACCCAAGGTGGACTCAAATTCCTTATGCAGTCAAGGATAACCCTGAACTCCTGATCCACCTGCCTCTACCTTCCAAGTGCTGGTGTTACAGGCAGATGCCATTAAAGCCCAGCTAAAGCCTTCAAACTATTCTGATAAGATTTCATTTGAAGCAGCATAAATCTACAGAAAAGTCTGGAAAGACCAGATAACTGTATAACTCCAAGTTTTGCTACCCATGACCTAGAATGCCTTTCGATGAAACTTTGTTACTAATATAAAAAGTGATTCTTAAATAATATTTTGTTTGTTGCTAGTATACAGGAAGGCAAATGATTTGTGCTTATTTAGGTCTATACCTAATTTCTCGCTAAATGTTAATATTTTAATCAGAAAATGTATAATAAATAAGAGCTAGCAAACACTGTGGATATTATACAATGGCAATATTGGTAATAAATTAATAACTATTTGGATTATTTCCTTCTAATTTTTTTGTCTCGGTTTGGTTTTTGGTCTTTTAAGACAGGGTTTCTCTGTAGCTTTGGAGCCTGTCCTGCAACTCGCTCTGTAGACCAGGCTGGCCTCGAACTCACAGAGTTCCGCCTGCCCCTGCCTCCCGAGTGCTGCCTAGCAAGAGCACTTACTCTTTTTTTTCTGTGTTTTTTTTTTGTTTGTTTGTTTGTTTTGTTTTTTGGTTTGTTTTTTTTTTTTGAGACAGAGTTTTTCTTTGGAGCCTATCCTCCTTCTGATTTCTTTTGTTTCTTTCTGTCCTGGCTGAACTCTCTCGTACATGGATACCTAGAGTAAACTCTAAAGAGGGTACCTTTTACACTTTAATGGTAAGAGATGTTTTATCCGAGTCCTTGTTAGATACCTTTTATCAAGTTCTACTCCCATTTTTCTGACTGTCAATTTTGTCTCATTTTTCCTACTCTTTATGAAATAATGATGGTTTTTCTCCTTTATACAGTAAACAAGGTGAACAATACATTTTATGGTAGACTTCTGAAACAATTGTTTTCAGATATATATATATATATATATATAAAATTTATACGTTCTTGGCTTGGCTTGCTGGTATTTTATTTATGATTCTTATACCTATGTTCACAAATAAGACCTGATTTAGCTCACTTGCTTATCCCACCCTGCTGTGATTTGGGACTCAAGACTGTACTGACTGGAGGTTTTCCATTGCCCCCTTTCTCTGGGAGAGTTGTGTAATATCTGGAAAGGTCTATTACTTGCAAATTGGTAGAATCTACAAAACCATCTGGTCTGGTGTTTTCTTTGTGGGAGGAATTTAACTCCTAATTCAATTTCTGTCAGAGCTGGAGAACTGCTCAGGCTTTTTATTTACTTTAAGTCAGAGCCTTGCTAAGTTCTAGTTTCCCTTCGCTTTTACACATGTTAAATAGTCTGAATCCACAAAAGCCCATGAGTTGAAAGTTTAGTCACCAGCCTGCCGTGAGTGACAATGAAATCTGAACAAGACGGGGCCTGGTTGAAAAGAAGTTAGGATGCTGAGGGTGTGTCCTTTGAGGGAAGACTGGGAATGCCCATGCGCGCGCGCGCGCGCGCGCGCACACACACACACACACACACACACACTGTCCGTCTCTCTGCTTCCCAGCCAGGAGGTAAGCAGGTCTGTTTCAGCACTTCCTTCGGCCATGATCCACTCACTGTGCTGCCTGCCATAAGCCCAAAGCAACAGGCCCAAGGACCAAGTCTGCAGCTATGAGCTACCATAAAGCCTTCTCTTTAAACTAATCATCTCAAGTATTCTGTCACAGTGGTAGGAAGCTAACACCACAGCTCTGCTTATATTTGTAATCCACTGCCCTAACAATTACTTTATTACTTTTTTAATCTCTATAGTGAGATTTACAACTTCCCCCCTCCAAAACTGTCCATTTATACCTATTTCTTTACTTAGTTTTGCCAACTATTGGTCCACTTTATTAGACTTTACAAAGAACCAATTTCTATGCTTATTAATCTTGTGCTTCACCATTCTTTGATGCTTTCTGCTCTTGGCTTTGTTTCTCTCGTCCTCTGCTTTCTTTGAACCTACTCTAATGTTCCTTTGATTTACTTAATACTTTTCAACCTCACTCGTTTTCTTTGGTAAGCACACAAGACTATAATAACCCTAAATTCCATGCTGGCCGTCTTCCTACAGGACATGATTGATTGTGCTGGCTAGTCTTACGTTAATTTGACACAAGCTAGAGTTATCTAAAAGGAAGGAACCTCAATTGAGAAAATGCCTCCAAAAGATCCAACTGTAAGGCATTTTTTTAACTAGTAATTGGTGAAGAGGGCCCAGCTCATTGGGGGGTGACACCAATGGGCTGGTGGTCCTGGTTCTATAAGAGGGTGGACTGAGCAAGCCATAGGGAGTAAGCAGCTCCCCTCCATGGCCTTTGCATCATGAGTATGAACCCATGATAATTATGAAGGGAAATTTGGTAATAGCATCTATTAAAATTTCCAACATATATGTGTGTATATATATATATATATATATATATATAGAGAGAGAGAGAGAGAGAGAGAGAGAGAGAGAGAGAGAGAGCGCCTTATTTTGCAAGCTCCCTTCTAGGAATTTCTTTTAGAGATACTCACTCATATGCAGAATAATTAAGACACTCATTACACCTCAAACAGCTATCAAGAAGATGCTAGTCAAATTACTGCAACTATAAAATGGAATAGTAAGGCAGCCAATTTTCTTAAAGAATAAAAATATGCTTTGATGTACCATGTGAGAAAAAATTCAAACTATAGGTGAAGTAAAACTTTTAAAGGAAAGAATTCTGCTGCTATTTATGTTTTTAAAAGTCAATAAAAACATACACACACACACACACACACACCTGTGGTATATAACTGCTTGCATATGCACATAGAAGGCTATTCAAGAAACTAATAAAACCAGTTGGTTCTAAAGAAAAGACTTTCTGACCGTTAGATGCTGGCAGGAATGGGGAGAGCAAGAGAGAGACTGTAGATTTTAACATATATCTTTATAAACTATGTAGAAACTGTTGAAATGAATGTCTCACAACAGTTTATTATTTAGAGCCTACAGGAACCCAAGAAATCACACATTCTACTTCATTTGAGCTAAATTTCCATCCTAGAAACAACTTTTTTTTTTCTTTTTCAAGACAGAGTTTCTGTGTAGCCCTGGCTGTCCTGGAACTCACTCTGGCCTTAAACTAACTCACCTGCCTCTTCCTCCCTATCTCTGGAAATAAAGGTGTGCACCACCACCTGGCAGAAACAACTTTTAAATTGTTTTTTATGTTTTTGGGTGTTTTGTCTGCATGTTTGTTGTGGTATCACTTGTGTGCCTGGTGCCCACATAGTCCAGAAGAGGGTAGTGGATCCTCTGAGGCTGGAGTTACTCATAGGGTGCTGATTGCTGGGTACTGAGTAGTACTGGGTGCTGAGAGCTGAGGGCTGGGTGCTGAGAGCTGAGCCTGGGCCCCGTTGGAAGGGCAGCTGTTAACCAATGAGCCATCTCTCTATCACAAAACAATTTTTTAAATGAACTTGATTAAATAAGACAGCTTTATCATGGAAATGCCAGTCTACCACTACAAAGATCATGGAAAATATGGTTCTTATATGGTAGTAGGATTATTTTCTTTCAATAACATAACCTCATTTCTAATTACTGAACAAGCCTACCTATGAAGGAAAATTGCTTGTGATTACACAACTTAAAAGCACACCTTGTTCAATTTGAAGTCTTCCAGTAGACTGCATGAATCCAATCCCATTGTCTGCTACACACTGATACAGCCCAGAGTCTTCCACGGTAACCCCGGTGATCTTCAGTCCGTTTCCTTCGGCTAGGTGCCGTGGGGAGGGGCGAATAGGCTGTGCGTTATGAAACCAGGTGCGGTTGGGGGCTGGGTTCCCGTGAACGTCACAGGTAAAATGCACAGTGGCCCCCAGAGACACTTTCTGATCCTGTAGTCCTTTAGAAATTGAAGCATGCTCTGTAAATAAAGCAGGCGTGTTTCACTACCACACAAGTCATGGAGCACCTGTCTGTAGCACTGAGTGTGAAATCCCTCTGTGTCCTTTATTGACATGCATTCCTCCATCTGGGTGGTCATCAAGAAACACTGAGAAATCCACTTTAACGTTCACCAGCAGAATAAGTATAGTGCTACTAAGTTAGAATCTTTTTTATATTGGCCCACCCACTTTATACCTCGTGTGCATGTGCACATGCGTGCACGAGGACACACACACACATTTCTACCCTGCTCGTCTCTTAACATTTAACATTACGTAATAGTTTCTCTAGATCATACACCAAACAGGAGACAACAAAGCTTTATTCAAAATGAGAATATTTTAAATGCATCAAATAATCTTTTTGTCTTAAGTTCTGTTGACGGGGCTGTTGCGGCCACCACTAAAGAGCAGCAGCCATGGCCCTGGGGTACCTCTGACTGTGGGTCTTAACAGGGGCCAAAATGGATGAAGAACATCAGCAAGCCAAGCCATAGCTGGTGCATCAGGGACCTCACCAAACACAACCAATTTGTAGGCCACATTATCCAGGACGTGTGTGGCATCCTGTTAGCTGCATGGCCATGACATTGCCCAAGGTCCCCAAGCCAAGGCTTTCAAGTTCATTCAGAAGAGGGTAGAAGTGCATATCCCCATAAAGAGGAAGCACTAAGTGGACTATATAAATCCATAAATTCTGTCTGCAGTCAATTCTACTTTGAGGCTATATGAATAACAGGCAAAATACTTTAGTTTCCACAGAGCTTTGTTCTGAGACAGCGCTGCCTCTATGTGCTGGCACTTGCCATGGAGACTAGGCCAGCTTCACAAAGATCTGCCTGTCACTGGCTCCAGTGCTGAGATTAAAGGTCCGAGCTGGGACTCCAGGCTTAAAGTCACTTCTTAGTCTCGAAAGTACGGCATTGCCCAACACTTTCAGTATCTGCCCCAAATAAGCAGTGATCGTATTAATCCAGTTCCGATTACCACTGGGTTTAGAGTTTTGGGGGGATTTTTTGTTTGGTTGTTTGGTCGGTTTTTCTGGCACTTGCAATCAAAGCCAAAGTCATGCATGTGTTAGGCTACTCTAACACTGAACTGTACACCCAGCCCCAGCACCAGTTTTTAAAGCTCACTTGCCATATTTATATTAATCCCAGTGTAACTAACCTACATCAGGTTATGAATATAAATCAAATGTAAAAAAAAAATTTACAAAAGTCCTATTTAACGAGACCAGTTCCTATTCATTTCTTTCTAGTTTTCAGAAGACTGTTTTGATGAAGGAAACATTTTCCAATGCTACAGAATAATGTGGCAGCTCCTGACAGCAATGGTTCTGAAATAAAGACTATCTACAGAAACGGGGAAAGATTTTATCAGCCAAACATAACAAAAAGGTAAGAAGTAAACAGCTGGATTTCTTTGTGAGGTGATACCTCTAGTCGGTTCCATCTTAGCTGCCGCTGAAGGACCACACACACACATGCACACACACGCACACACCCGTGCATGAACGCACACACACACACACACGCACATACACGCACACCAAGCTCTCCCCACGTTCCAACTACCGGTGTAGATATTTCTTAATATTCTGTGTCTCATTTTTAGCTCACAAATATCCTTCGAACATCCGTTAGACCAGGAAAATGATGTGACTTGAAATGAAGGGGCAGATACTCTGTATTGAATAAGTAAGACCCTTACCCAGAACATTGACCATGTAAGTGACGTGTTTAACATCTCCGGACTTGTTGCCCACCACACACGAATAGTTTCCCGAGTCTGCAGGGTCAATGCTAGCCGTGGCGAGATGAGAGTAAAGCCTCCTCCAGTTGCTTCCTGACAGAGCATCCTGCCCATCCTTCAGCCAATACACCTGTGAGGCCGGGACCCCGCTCACCACACACTCCAAGGTAACAGGGCTGTGAGGGAGGACAGACAATGCCTGAGAGAGCGCAGGGTGAAGAATGTGGAAACCGTCTGCTGAGGAAGCGCCTGGAAACGGAAGGGAACACAAAGCAGTATTAGAAATGACTATTAGAAACCCACCTTTTCCCTTAGCTGATCTATGAACACCCCGGGAAGCTGCTTCCATTTCCAACAAGTCCATGGGGGCTGGAGAGATGGCTCAGCAGCTAAGAGGACTTGTTATCTTTGCAGAGGACCCAGGGTCAGTTCTCAGCACACACATGGTGGCTCACAACCATCCATAAACCTAGTGCCAGGGAATCTGATATACCCCTTGGGCATCCGGCACACATGCGGTGCATACACATATATATGCAGGCAAAACTCTCATATGCATAAAATAAATAGATCTTTAATGAAATAAAAGCAAGTACAGTCCTGTTAAGGGCACTGGCTGCTTTTACAGAGGTCTCAGGTTCTATTCCTAGCACTCACATTAAGGTTTACAACTATCTATAACTTTATTTCCAGAGGATATGATGCCCTCTTCTGGCCTCTTGAAGACCAGGTATGCACATGGTGCACAGACATACATGAGGGAAAATACCCATACAATAATAATAATAAAATAAAACCAGTGTTGAAAAAACATGCTGAACTCTCTTTTACCAAGGCTTCCTGAGCCACACTTGGGAGGAATCTTCCTTCCCTAGCCACCAACATTCTCCCAGATACTTACGACTCACAAGGAGCTTCCGGCCAATGGGTTCGACTTTCAATTCACTGGTGACAGGATTATAAGCAGCACATTTGTATGATCCCTTATCCATCGAGGACACATTCAAAATCTGAAGATTTCCCGAGGGGAGGATTACGTAGTTCCCTGGGGAAGGTAGAGGGATGTAGACAGGGCTACAGATGCAGCTCAGTTTGTAGAACCCTTGCCTGGCACAAAGCTGGGCTCAACCCCAGCACCCATCATATAAAATCAGGCACAGTGGCACATGTCTATAATTCCAGCACAAGGGCGGTAGAGGAAGGGGGACCAGAAGGCCAAGGTCATCCTCACCTACAGAGCTCCAGGCTCTGCAGACCCCTACCACACACCTGGAACTAGCAGAGACTGCTGAGATTCACACAGAAGACTGGCAGCAAATGTGCAGCCAAAGAAGCATTATTACCCAAGAAAGGAAAGTCAAGCCCAACCGCGCTTATACAGCAAAACCTTCAGCAGACAGTCAGAGTCTGAAACACAAGAACGTCATTTGGACAAAGACGTAGTAAACACATCTTGACCTATGACCACCGCAGTGTCCAGTCACTGGCTACTCATCACGCTTCTCAGTAAATGCACACGGAGTAGCTATACTCCGCCAGCCATGGCCTGGCACACATGCCATAGCAATGAGGAAAGCAAAATCCCTGCATTAATGCATTTGACATTCCAATAGGCAGAACGAGGAGGCAGATAAAGGGGCGACTAACAAACAAGACATACCCAGCCTACACCAGGTGTGGTAAGCTCTACCAAAGAAAGGGGAAGAAAGTGACAGAGCATCTTGTCTATACACATCCATGTGGGCCATCTCCTCTAAGAAGTAGCGTTTAAATATGGCCCTAAGTGGTTGAGGAGCGAGCCTTTGGGGTCAGCCGTCTAATGTAACCACGTGCCCTGGCCTCTGAGAGCACATCCCCAACAGGACTCACCTGTGGAATACTTTAGCCACTTTCCCCGGATCTTATAGCGCACCTCGGCTTTGGGGTTGCTCTCTGGTACCCTACAGCCAACGAAACCCGTATTCTTCTCTTCTGCAGTAATAACATGCATTGTTGACGGATCAAAGTCACCAAGAGCTAAAATAAACAAGGAAACAAAGGAATGTAAAATAATTTAAAGGAAACTTAAAACTTAGAAACAGAGAATGGCCTTTTGTGGCAACTGATACCAGGTCCCAAAATAGCAGGAATAGAAGGATCTTTTGTTGTTGTTGTTGTTGTTGTCGTTTTGTTTTAAACAGGGTTTCTGTGTAGCTCTGACCTGGAACTGCTTTGGTATATCAGGCTGGCCTCAAACTCACAGAATCTGCCTGTGCTGGGATTAATCCCAGATGTCTGTGTACCTCTGCCTCCTGAGCTCTTGGACTAAAAGTATGCACCACCACGCTTTTAACCAAAAAAAATTTTACTTTTTGACAGGTCTCATTATACATTATGCAGCTGAAGCTAGCCTTGAACTTGTGATCCTCCTGCCTCAGTCTCCCAGTTGCTAGGATTACAGGTGTGCACCACCACACGCAGCAATGAGAGTTTCTCATCTGAGAAAGGAGCTGCAGCAGAGGTGAGTGGTTGAGGGATGCAGCTAAGTCAGGTCACACAGGTTTTCCCTTCAGGGAACTGTAAGGCAAACAAACTGACCCAAAACACCAGAGAGAACTGCAAAGCACACTTACTCCCACTCTGTCAAGATGAATTCTTCCCCATCCAGAGGGGTCTTCATCAAAACTCACTTTCCCTGCAATAAAGCGGCTTCTGGGAATGAACCCAGGACATTATAAAACACGGCAGCCCACTGAGCCTGGAAGCATCGGCTCGGTATTGATTCCTTTCAGTTTAGACAGTTCCCTGTGGACTGAGCAGGGCCTTTATTATCCCCACCGCCCAAGGACGCCAGCTGCCGGCCTCCAGGAAATCAACCCTCCAGTGTGTGTCTTGGAACTGTGCATGGGTCACAGCTCTACAAAAACATTTACTCTTCTCAGTTATGACAAACTCTCTACTCCAGGGGAATCCAGATTTGTTCTGTAAATAGGGGTGCCCTCACAAAGCCGTTTTCCATTACTGGAAGCCATCGCCATTTGAAAGGCAGATGGCTCAAACTTACCAGGGAAAACCACGCATTCCAGATTTTCCATGAGTTCAATTCCTCACGTTCCTTTCTCTACAGTCAGTTTCCCCTCTCCCCCACCCAGCTTCTTTAGCCTGGCTTCAATTACATAAATTAAAATCCACTGGTAATCAAGGGAAATAAAACAATTAAATGTGAAAGAAACATTGAGGACTGCATGAAATAAATGAGTGTCAAAAGTCGACTATTTTTTTTTTTTGGCCTGTACTGATATTAAGGACTTTAAAATAGATTCACAAGGATATTGCCCATAATTCACAATAGAAAACTGCCCTGTGCTAATTTTTAAAACAAAAATCACTTCCACACTATTACTAGAGATTAAGGAACAAGGCTGGGCTACAGAGGTTCCAGCATCTTTCCCCAACTATTCAAAGTCAAAAGGTGGTTAGGATAAGAGCTCTCAGACCCCTACATGTATGGCATCGGTGCCCAAGGTTTTCCCACTATGGAAATTGTGAGAACAAAGAGAAAACCCATAGATTTCAAGACAAATAACAGGTAACAAGGTTCACTGTAAACTCACCTGCAGTGGACACTGTTGCAGGGCCACTAACAATAGCACCAATGCTGTTGTTGGCAATGCACCGGTAGCAACCAGAAAGGGAAGGGTTAAGAGACAGAATTGTCAAAGTCCCCCGATGAATCTTAATCTGTTCCGTGTTTCTGTCCAATTGTTTCCCATTGTGCAACCATGAGATGCGGGCAGTAACTGGTTTAGCCGAACAATGTAGGACCACGGGTCTACCAAGCTTCTGGACCGCAGAGAGTGGTTCAGAAATAAAATAAGGTGCCAAATCTGCAAGGGAACATTCCCGTGTGCAAAAGAAGAAAGAAGGAGAAAGGGGGAGAAAGCAGAACAAGAAAGTATATTAAATACATTTCAGCTGAGTCTGTAACTAAAGCCATCTCTTATCTCTATATGTGGTACAGAGTTCTTAATGCTTATTAAAAAATCATAAGCCCATCTTAATCTCAAACTCACAGAGATCCTTCTGCCTCTGCCTTCCAAGTGCTGGGATTAAAGGTGTGCCACTATGCCAGGCCCCTACAGTACTCTCAATACGTAATAAATGCTACACAATGATTACACATTACTATACATATATATCCACCATCACATAAGTATAAAGCCAAAAGATTGAGCTGAAAAAAGACTTCACCCAAAGCCCCATCATTCTCCTCTTACCTGAACTCACAGAAGAACACAGAATCACAAGAACATACAGCAGTGTCCATAAGGGTCTGAGGTCTGGATGCATAGCGCCCAATTACAGAAGTATGCAGGGATGACTTCCAGAGAAAGCCCAGGCCTCAGCTCACTGGAAAACATGAAGACAGACAATCTAACCACAAGAACCACTAACATCTTTAAAGTGAACCCTTTATCTTAGACCCTTCATGATCCATGTCTTCTCAGCCCACACACATATCTGGACACTAAACTAGGGTTAGAAGCTCTGCTCTTCCTTCCAAGGGACTAGGATACTTTTTACTAGGGACGACTCAGAACTGATGGATAACACACTGGAGTGGGTCAAGATGGAAGATGAAGCGCCATCGGGAGACAGATGAGGGCATGGTGGGTTGTGGGCTGTGACAATGACAAGTGGATTCAGGACAGTCTGAAGCAGAGCCAACGAAAGCAAAAGCAAGGAGATGAAGTATGAGTGAGTTGCAGGTACGTCCAGGATAACGCTTGGGTTTGGGTGTAAAAGAGGAAAGAATTGCCCATTTACTAAAGAAGAAAAATCCAGAGAAGGGGATTCAAAGTGAGGAAGGAGAGAGTCTACTGGATATCCAGCTGCTCCCAGGAGGTCCAGAGTTGCTTAAATGAGTCTGGAGTCATAGGGAAAAGTTAGAGCTGAGAATGTAGATTTCAGATGTAAGAAAGTCAGGCACGAGCTCAGACTTTTCTATGAAATATATACTTAGAGCACAAGACATGCCCACCAAGGACCTTGGAGCAGTGGGAGTGCAAAGCAATGAAAGAGATGGAATCCAGGAGAAAACTCTTTCCAGTCATGGCTGTCTTAAACCAGGTGAGAAGCAGAGCAAGTCCAGCTGCCATCCGAACGGCACAATACAGACGGCTCATAACACTGACAAGAGTAGGTCAGCAGAGAAAGGCTAACTTAGCGGGAACCATAAGGGAGCAGGCAACAATGGGGAAAGAGGAGAAAGACTTCCCAAGTTTTGCCATGCAGCAGAAAAACAGGAAGAAAATGGCGGCAGACAAATGAACAATTCTGACAGACGCCACCCGAGGGAAGGGATGCTTCTGGCTTGTGTTGCTTTTCTTCTCCCTTTCTTTTCCTTCTCTTAACTTACCTTTCCTTTCCTTTCCTTTCCTTTCGGCTGGAGACAGTACAGTACACTTAGAAAACGTTTAAGAAATCCATAAACTTCAGGACTGGCAAGGACATGGAGACAAATCACCATGCATGTGATGGGTGGAGGAAGAACTAATGAGTTCTTTTTGGAGACAATATATATGTATGTATGTATGCATATGTGTGTATGTATGTATGCATTATCATTTATTTATGCAACAAATATTTTTGATTATTTATTATGTAGCAGATACCATCCTAAGGGCTAGACATAGGGCCGTTTCCATTACAAAAATAAAAATAAATAATACAGACATAAATTTAAACTTTACATTCTAATAGGAGGAGTGGACAATGAACAAGATAAATAAGTTTTGAAATGTCTGTGCATCCTCCAGATATGGCTAAGTTCCTACTTTGCTCTCACTTTTCCATGTAACATTCTGTTTCCTCCTTAAAAGCAAGCATATTCAATAATATAAAATTCTACTTTCTAGGAACACTATAATGTCCCTTAAATCAAAAGTACTACTTTAATATAACAAAATACCCATATGTGCAATTATAGTTAATAAAAACTGATTTCTGAACAATTCTAGCTATATTATTTGTTCCTTCATTTAGTCACTCGTGCATCTAATTTTAAAATCGGCATAAATCTATAAACGTCTCCCCCACACACACACCATGCTAGGTATGATGCTGGGCAAGGTTATCAGTAACCACTGCAGATCCTGCTCTGCGTCCCTGCTTGGCCGGGGTTGTAAACAGAGTCTGAGTACAACAAGACAGAATGACCAGCTACATTAACAACCCATTAGGAATACAAAGCAAAGCGCTGAGGCTTATGGAGTCGGTGTCTCCATGCGCTCCTCTCTGTTTCTCCTGCTCCAGAGTCTGGAAGCTTACAAACCTAAGCTTGTCTAGATCTCTAGCACACTCATTGGCAGGAGGGGTCAGTGATGTGGAAACCTTTGGTTTCATTTGAATTCTCCTAGTTTACAGCTAAGGACAGACACAGCAGCAGTATGAAAGCAAAGTAAACATTCATAAGACTTGGTAACAGGAGACACTTTCGGAGCAAATGTGCACACGGAGGGTGGCTTCTTCCTTTTGTCACATCTTTCTCCGACCATTTATTTATTAGAAGGCAGCAGCGTGGATTTTACAATGAACTTTAACCCTCACTCACGACCTAATTTACAGCTGCTCTTTGAAGTTTCACAGCTCATTATTTCTACCTAAACACGACCACACAGAAGTCTCCCTGATAGAGTCTACACTTCAGACAGGCTCTCAGTGTGCGCTCAGGGCTAGCTCTAACTACGTAATCCAGGCTAGCCTCAAACTTGCAGTGATCCTCTGTATCTACCTCCTTGGCGCTGGGATTACAGGCAAAATCTCAGTTGATCTTAGAAGTTAGAAAGAAGCTATGACCATAAGAGGCACTTACTAAACATCAGTGGGCTTGACTTCTGTGTACACACAGCTCAGTGGTACAGGACTATGGTGGTGATGTCATCTATGGGTCCGGTGAATTATTCTCTGCAGCAATGGATTCTCACAACCTCATCACTACACGTGTTTGTGTGCATTGCACACACACATGTATAATCTAACTAAATTACCCTTTCTGGATAGTTATTTTAATATAAAATGTACATGTGTATATACACGTATATATCCCAAGAGTACATGTGCACATACATCTCGTGTAGGAACGAATTTCATCCATAAAATGTTTAGATACTCTTTTAATTATGTGTCCTGAGGTTATATTCTTGGAAGCAGAATTCCCACATCCAGGATAGAAACATTTTAAGGATTTTTACATACATATATATCATCAAGGCGGTGTCTAAGAAGCCACAGTACAGCACCATTTCCAAAACCACCATCAGCACAGGAAGGTGACTCCTCCCTCCGTTTAAGGTGCAGATCCATGTACTATGTAAGCCAAATGTGAATATGAAAAATAAGTGCTCCACTCACTAAAGAACCTGACATTCCAGCCACATTAGTCACACTGTTTACCTTTGACCTTCCAGTGACAAAAAGATCATGGTATAAAAATCTGATTTTTACCCTAAATCCATCAAAAAGGAAGATAAAGAGTCACTGTAGTTACTGTGTGGTTTTAATTCATAACATGTATTATTCCTCTAAAAATAAATTTATATGCAAAAATTATCTGTTGGCATTTAAAATGTTAAACTTCTGTTCAAGAATATATTCTTAGGCTGGAGAGATGGCTCAGTGGTCAAGAGCACTGTTGCTCTTCCAGAGGACCCAGGTTCAATCCTCAGCACCCACATCCTCAGCACCCACATGGCAGCTCACACCTGTCTATAACTGTCCCAGGGTTTTTGACACACTAATACAGACATACACGCAGGCAAAACACCAATGAACATAAGAAAAAATAAAATTTTATAGACTTACATACCTATATAGACATATTTGTACATATACATGTATGTGTGTGTGTGTATATATATATAGCCTCCCTCCCATAGTGCATTTTTTTAGTCTATCCACCATATATGCATATACAATAGAAGTACACACACACTTATTTTCCTAACTTAGGGAGGTAGTAAACTAAACTAGGCTCAATTAATTAGGCAGCCGACACACACACACATACACACACATACATGCAGAGATACATGCACACCCGCCAAGGCTCCTCTAACTCACTGGTCTCAGAAGGAACTGATGGACCATGAAAAAGCCCTTCTATTGCTTTCCTATGTTCAGGGAGTTCTTTCCAGTGTAATCACGTCCTTCCACTGCAATCCTGAAGAGACGCTTCCCAGTCACTGTGCTCCCAGGAAGGGCTCTGGTGGTGCGGATGCTCCCACAGACAGCAGAGTGCCAGGAAGAGGGAAAGCAGCTACAAGAAACAGGCCCATCTGTCCACAAATCAGGTTGACTCTTTCCTCCATACTGAAGAAAGCCGTAATGCCATCTGGCAAAGTTCTGCTCCTTGAGTCTCGAGGTTCAAAGAAGAGCTGCTATTTCCTAAGTAATCAAGATTGAAGCCTCTCCCTTCCCTGCACAGGTAATTTGTGTGTACCACACTTTCTGTGCCGTGCTGGGCTCAGCAGAGGTTCTGCTGGCAGCGGGAGGCTGGAGGTATGCCTGTCTTAGCTCGGAAAGGAAACACTTCCCTAACGTTTGCTTAACTCATTGTTCGGGTTGTGAACTTACTGCTTTTATAACCCCTCTTCAGCACGCTGCCAGAACAGTCCTTTGGGGAAAGCCCTTCCTGAGTTTTTAGGTTTGATTTCTTTGTTTTTGAAGCATCTTTTTTGCTTTCCTAAGGCTGATCAAGGCTCTCTTTCTGAATTACACCCCTCCCCAACCCTCCCTGCCTCCCATCCTCTAACTGTGAACAAAAACTTGGCTCTGGGATCAGTATAGTTCTTCAAAATAGGAAAAGTTTTCAGCTAGTTTGCATTTTAAAGGGATCCTCTTCTTCATGAAAAGTAATCTTTAAAAAAGAGAACTGATTCCCATTTTCAATCAATTTCAAAATGTACCATTTAGCAACTGTTGAGAAAGAAATATTTTTCTGCAGAAACTAAAACCTAGGATATGCTTACAGAAAAAAACTTGGTTATGTGGTGTAAGATTAATCTAGTACAGTTACAATCATGGAAGTCTTGACAGAAGACATTTAAAAAATAAAAACAAACAAAAAGAGCACATTTAAACTGCCAGAATATTAATCATATACAACTTTGAGTCTCCTGTCAAGTCTTTCTTCATTCAAAATACTTAAATAGTTTAGTGAAGACACTAACATCATTTCCTGTGAATCCTTCCTTCTCTTGCAGCAGCATCCTTTGAACTGTCAACACACAGGACGTCTTTGAGTGAGATATTCTGAGAAGCAAAGATGAGGAAGGAGTAAGCCCTGAACTGAAGCAAATAGCAGCTCAACTAAGAAAAATGAACATGGACACAACCCCAGCAAGCAAAAG